CCCGCTCCGCTCCGCCCGGCCCGGCCCGGCCCCGCGCCGCGCTCCGTTACCTGCGCGGGCAGCGGCCCCGGCGCCGCTGCCGCCCGCGCGCCCGCCCCCGCGCACCCGCATCACTTCCGCATCCGGGCGCCGCCGCCGCCGCCTCCCGTCCTGCCCCGTTCACCGGGCCCGGTGGTGGCGTCACGTGGCGCCCGGATGCGGAAGCGGCGGGCACTGCTCGCGGAGGCGGGAACGGCCGGTGAGGGTCTGTCCTTCGCCCCCCTTCCCCGCGCTGCCTCGCGCTCCCGGTTCCCGGCGGGTCCCGTGCTGCGGCCCCGCTCCGGGCTCCGCGGAGCTTCCCACGGGAAGAGCGGCCGGCGGCGGCTCCTTGCGGGCCCGCTGTGAGGGAGGGACGGAGGGAGCCCCGGCCGGTAACGCGCGGCGTGGTAACGCACCGCAGGGTCAGCGGAGGAGGTAGCGGCGGCGCGAGCGGCCGTGGGGCGTTTGCCTGGGGGGCTTGAGCGTTCAGCGCGTGCCTAGGAGCGCTCGGCTTGGAAACGCATCCTTGGAATGGGCAAAGGCCCGTTTGGAGAATGGGAAATGGGAAGAGGCCGTTCTGGAGAGCGGCGTGAGCTGTGCTGGAGGGGCTGGAGGGAGAGGAGCCTTCATCCAGCCCCTGCCCTGGGGATGCGCCGCGCTGGGCTGAGCGGAACTCCGCGGAGCTGCCCCCGCTGCCACCCCGCGAGCTCCTCGCTGCCCCGCGGAGCTCCCTGCTCCGTGGCGGCCGGCACTCCGTGCCCTGGCTCGCACTGCAGGGCTCCCTTTTGGAAGTGCCCTTCTCTTCTAACAGCAGACACATCCGCAGGGCGTAGAGTGGAGTAGAAAGACCATGAAGTAGAAAGAATAATTCTGTAGTAATAAGAGGTCCTTATTTTGTTTTCTCTTTCATTTCCCTATTAGATGTGCCAGATGTCACCTGCTGTTTGCACCCAAAGCAGCTGAGCTGAGAAGCCCCTTGGTGGTGGGGACCCGGAGAACTGGGGTTCAACATGAGAACCAACAAGGTGTACAAGCTCGTCATACATAAGAAGGGGTTTGGAGGCAGCGGTCAGTATCTCCTCGCTCACAACGCTAAGATCAACTTGCTGTTTGTGATTTTAAATGTTTTCTTGGTCTTTATGAAACAAGCAGGGTGGAACTCTAAGGCAATGAGCAGTATTACCAGCCAGAATGTGGAAGGCCTTTTTCAATAGCAAGATGAAGCAGAACGAAATGGTGTTAATTTCTCAGAATGAAAGAAGATTGCATATGTGAAATTAAACACCGATTCTGCCTCTTCTGCTATTGTTGTGTTGCTTTTCATCTGTTTTCTTCTTCTAATGTTATATTTCAGTCACTCTTAATGACAGCATCACTTGTGACTTGTTATCATTGCATGTTGTTGCACATGGGGTCACACTTTCTGTTTCTGGCTTCTAAGAACATTTCTTTCTCAGCTTCCTACTTCTGGCCTCCAAATCATAGCACGTTAACAAGATTTTGCTAATAGGATTTTATAGCTATTTGCTTTTCTGCCAGTGTTTGTTAAATGGGAAAGAGAAGATTTTGCTTGTGAAGCAGGCTCTTTTGTGGAACAGATCTGATGTGGATGTTCTGTGACTTGAAAGAAAAGCTTTTGTTCACAAGATTGGCCAGACTGAAGTGATGGGATGGGGCACTATCATACAATGAATATAATGTATTGTTAATGTGTTAATCCTGAACTAGTACGCTAATGTTGGGCAGAGTTATGCATGCAAAAACCCAAGTTTCTGTGTTTGATGCACTCTTGTCCCTTGCAGGTTTCCATATTGATTAATTCTTTTTTTTTTTTTTTTTTTTTTGTCTGTAGATGATGAACTGGTGGTAAATCCTAAAGTATTTCTTCAAATCAAGCTGGGAGATGTTGTGGAAATTGCACATCCCAATGATGAATACAGGTGAATTCCTCATGCTGTTAGCAACCAAGTGTGGCTGGAAAGCTAAAAGAGCCTGAGGATAACTATGGCAAGAGTGCTTATCCTAAATTTGTGGAGAATGATAAGGGGGGCAAACAGACAGAATGGTGTATGATTTCAGAAAATATTAATGTAAATATTTGTTAAGCTGATATGGCAAGTGCTTAGTTTATAGTTTATCCCATATCGGTGTTGCTAAATTGCTTTGAGAGTGTGATTTTTGAGTAGATTGGTGTTTCAACTTTTCTGCCTTTTTTTTCTTTTTTTTTTTTTTCTTTCTTTGTATCCTAGCCCCCTACTCCTACAAGTGAAGTCACTTAAGGAAGATTTGCAGAAAGGTGAGACTCCAAACTTGCCATATGCGTAGTCATACTTTGCATTATGCAGAGATCATAGACAAAGATTATGTGCTTGGGCTGTAGCAGCTATTGAGTAATGCCATATATTTTAACCTTATAAGAATTATATTTTAACCTTATAAGAAAATCAATGCTTTGTCTATTCAGGAATGGAAAGATTGCTATTTTATCAGGAAATGAATATCCATTTTTAAAATCAGCTTTTGGCTGGTAATGTGGAGATACAGTTTAAACAAAATTATTGGCTTTTTAGTCTTAGCTTTCTTCCTGCTCTCTATAACTTGCTATATGTTTTTTTTTTTTTTTTCTTGCAGGAATTAATTCAGCCTAAAATTTATCTCCTCTGTTTTTATTTTTAACAAATCTTTAATTAAGTACTACCTGAGAGGCTTTTTTCTTTAGCTAAGTTTCAAGGTTTCATGAAGTTCCCGCTCTAAGGAATTTTCATTCAGCCACTTGGGAACATTCTGGGATGTTCACTTCTCTGTTGTCCTATCTTTTTCTTCCTTCTGTGACAGAAACAATCAGTGTGGATCAGACTGTAGCACAGGTCTTCCGCCTGCGGCCATACCAGGATGTCCATGTGAATGTCGTTGACCCAAAGGTACCTGACTGTAACTTTGTTTCTGTCTGCCTCTTAACTTACCTAATTTGGAGCCCTTTGGATCCCCCTAATGCTGCAATAAAGGCGTTATTATCATTATTAATTTTTTTAATCTTTTTTTCACACACAAATGAGACTTGGGCAGTTTTGGTATTTTTGTCACATGTATTTCTTCTATCCTCTTTACCCCCTCTCTCCTTTTGAACTCTGGCTTTAACATAGCTTGATAGAAATGTAGGATTCTCAAAGATAATCAGGTTCCTGAAGTTTCAGGATAATCAGGCAAAAAAAAAGAGATGTGAGTAAGTGTCCCAGTCAAATGAAAAGCCTTAATATGAATTCCTATCATTTGATACCTGAAAGCCTTCATAAGAAGCACCTTTTATAAATGTCCCAACTTCTAGAAGAGCTTCATTCAAAGTACACATTCAGTACAAGACAAAAATCCACAGGAAAGAGGCTTCCTTAGTTTCACAAGCAGTGGAAACCATTTGTTTTACTGTGGCTCTAATCAACACCGGGACTCATAGTATGTGAGGCCTTTTCTGGCCACATTCTGCAACGTGCTGCAGGTCACTGTAGTTCCAGGTATGTGTGCAATGCTGGCAGCTCATATTGTGGAATTTCCTTTTTCTCTCCCATCTGTTGGGATTTGCTCCAGAATCACATTTGGTCCTCGCTAGGCAGATTGAAGGCTGCTGTGTAAGAAACAATGAGTAGAATCTCAGCTTTTCTCTGTTTCCCAGGAAGTGACCTTGGACCTGGTGGAGCTGACTTTTAAAGACCAGTACATTGGGCGCGGGGATATGTGGCGACTAAAGAAAAGTTTGGTAAGTCCTCTGCTTGTCATACTGTGTAGGGCCCAGGAGATGATTTACCTTTTCCCTTGCTCACTGAAAAAGAAAACTTTTTTTTTTTTTTTCCCCCAAGACGGAGAAAACCAGTATCAACACAGTTATGTGTTGTGCAAGTGGGATGTCAGAGTGGCAGAAATGCATGTAGTTATGTTTCAGAAAGAGTTATGGTCCTGTCACTTCATGCTCTGTGGCAATAATATTCATTAGTCCCTTGGATTTTGAAATCACTGCAATTATTTTCCTGATATTCTGAGTTTTAGAAATTTGCTACCTTTGAAGAGAATTGAATCAAATTGCTTTTCAACTAGAAATGCATTGAAGTATCTATTCTGTGATAGCATCATTTACTAAGCAACTATATTGAAGTTTTGTAAATTAGTACCTTTTGTATGTTTGTATAAATCAGTCTAACTTTTTAACACCTGACACTCATTTTTCTTAGGTCAGCACATGTGCTTATGTCACCCAAAAAGTTGAATTTGCGGGCATCAGGTGAGTGCTTAATTTCTGATTTATTGCCCAATTATAGGAAAATATCAGGGGAAAGTAGGAATCCCTGGTTTTACAGACAACTATAAGGAGGAATGCTCTAAACTTACGCATTTTTAGCATTTCCAGCTATAAGAGGAAATAATATATACTATTATATAAAAATATAATAGTTATTATATAATTCTATGTTGTATATTATCTACTGCTGCTGTTTCTCTGATACTTAGGACTCCTATGAGTCTGGCGTATCCATTGTGAGAATCTTCTCTGAAAAGCTCGTCCCATATTTTCCTTCTCTTACTTTTTTTCCGACTTTTGTCTGTAGTGTGATGTGGAGGAAGAGTTTTACCTGACCTGAAGTGGAAGAGTAGATGATAGGTTGATAGCAACCACACTCATTGCCTCTGGGAATGCTAAATAATTTACCTTCCACCTGTTAAGAGTGTTCTGGCCTCCCTGAGATGGCAAAAGGTTAAGGAGCTGTGCAGGTGTGGCAGGAAACAGCTGATCACCGTCTTTCTAGATTAGAGAGAACTTTTTATTCAAACACACTTATACTCTCTTCCTGTCATCCTTGAATGCAGAGTTTGGCACCTCCCTAATTTGCTCAAAGGCTGCATTTCTAGTCTTTATATTCACTGTAGTCGGTAAATAATCTGTCCTGTCTCTCTTCCAGGGCACAAGCAGGTGAACTGTGGGTTAAGAGTGAGAAAGTCACTTGTGGCTACATCAGTGAGGACACCCGGGTAAGATTTTGAGTAACTGAGGGAATTTTTTCCCTTCCTTTCCTTGCCAGTCTTCTTATAATTCCCTTTTGCTCGCAGATTTGTGCGAATCATTTGAATTGTCTGTGTTGTAAGGTAAAGAATGGTAACAAATGATTGAAGATGAGGGAGTAAAGCAGTTTGTCTATTCTGCACTGCCAGCACTAAGATTTGCTTTGGCAATTGAAATGCAAACTCTTTAGAGAGGAAGTGCCCATCATGCCATCATATAAATTGCCCTCTGGCTGACTTCTGCTCGTGGCAGCAGTTACACATTGTGGCAAAAAGGACTGATCAGTTTGATCAATCAGATTTAATCTCTTTCCTGCTCCTGGCAGTACGCTGGCGGTAGTGCTAGTGCCACTGTATAGTGAACTGTGGAGCAAAAAACTGATCTATTGTGGGGAGGAAAATCCCTTTTTTGCTGCTGTACTTCTCAGCTTGATCAGGGTCTTGATTAATGTCCTTGCCCAAGTCTTCATCTTGACAAAATGCAAGAGGCCTCAAAAGCTGAGAACAAGTCCTTAGGAGCTGGTGGGGCGGCACTAGGCACTACTTAATATTCTAATTCTGCCAAAAGCATTGTCCCTTAAGCTTTTCTTTATACTGGAGACTGTTAGGAAAGCTACTGCTTGGAATCTAAACGGTTACTTTTAGTTAGCGTCTTTCTGATGCTTTCATTGAATGTACCTTGTTTTGAAAAAGATCTTTTGCTGCTCTGCAGGTGGTCTTTCGCTCCACTTCAGCCATGGTTTATATCTTTATCCAGATGAGCTGTGAAATGTGGGATTTCGATATCTACGGTATGTAGGTAACTGCCTTGCTGCCCGATTGTGAGTGTGGGTGGCAGTGAGCTTTTTGGTCACTACCAGAAAAGTTAAAATGTCCCCTCTTTGGTCCATACATTGCTCTGTGACCAGTACTGTGATCCCCCCATGGAATTTTCCTTGCAGGGCCAGGCCTTGACCTCTCCTGGTAAAGGAGTTCCTGGTTACTGTAGGACTTGGGTCCTGTTATCTTAGTGAATTATATGAAGGGGCAAATGGGCATGAGCCTTGGAAGAGGTTTTCCTGTGGATATATCCATATTGGGTGGTGAGGACAGGTGCAAGCCTGAGTGAGCCCTGAAATTAGAAACTTATGGGAGCTCTGTGCAAAGAAGTTTTTGATGTTTTGGCTGTTTTGATGTTCCTGGCTTAGCCAGGAACCAAAACCCCTATGTTAGCCCTGGTAGAGTTAGCTTAGAATTGCTAAAATTCTGGCAGTTAAGAATCTGAGTGACTTATCTGTGTCATTGTCTTATTTTTTTTCTATATTCTTTAATAAATCCCTTACCACTTCCTTTGACCATGTGTTTAGGCATATGTAACTGGGCAGCTATTCAAAACCAAGCAGGGGATCAGTTGTGCATAGTATCTCTGAAAGATGGTACAGATGCTTTCCCAGCATGTTGGCAACATGTTGTAATAATGATTTAAAGGTCAGATCCCTCTGACAATATAGTAGTTGTCTTGTTTACATTCTCTGAAACTTGATCTTGCTTTTTCATCTTCTTTTATTATCAACTTTGCTTCAGAAATGCTAATATTCAGAGTGCACACAGACACAGCAAATGATTTGACTCTGATTCTTAAAAAACAAAACAACAACAATAACGAAGGCAAAACAAAAAATGAAACCTAGAATCTCTGGGTTAGTTTCCTTGTTTCCAAGTGTGTTATTGAAGTAACTGCTGCTGTGTGATGCTTTGGAGATGTGCTTCCTTTGCAGGGGACCTATATTTTGAGAAAGCTGTGAACGGCTTCCTTGCTGACCTCTTCACAAAATGGAAGGTAAATGGGGACTTGAACTCATCTTGTCCTGAAAGAGGAGGTTGAGATCATCTTAAATACTGAGCCCTTTATGCTGTTTTGAGGAAGACCCAGGTTCTGTCAGTCACAGCCAAGGTGTACAGGACTAAGCATCAGAAGACCGATTGCAGCAGGTCTGCTGATGAGTACAGGAACTATTTGGCACATGCAGTTTGCATTTATGGCGTGTGCATCATGCAGTTAATTTGTTGATGTGCAAGGAGTCTGACTGGGCTAATGTCATCCAGCGTATGACATAGTTGTGCAAGAGTGCACAAGCACGAGAAGTTTTAACTTTCTTTTGCTCTGAAATTGTCCAGGCCGTCTCTTTAAACATCCATAAATAAGAATATCAATATTGTCACAAGAGTGTATGTTTATGTAATCAAACAAATTGAGACAGCTCTCAATTTAAAGACCTCTCTTTGGAAGCTAGTAGGGAGTGTTGCTGTTAAATGTTATATAGCCTAGCAGAACAGGATTCAGCTCAGAGCATTATGTTATCTCATAAAGCCCTGTGCAGTACTGATGCAGATATGTAGCGGTTTTGTTTTTAATTGTCTCAGCATGAGGAAGATAGATGCTGTTATTGTATATGTTTCTATTTATATACATGTGTGCACACTTGCAGTTTTCTGTTGTGTGACTCCCCTGTTTTCTCCTATTCTTGTAAAGGAGAAGAATTGCAGCCATGAAGTGACAGTGGTTCTGTTTTCTAGAACATTTTATGAAGCAAAAACGATAGGCAAGTAAATCCTGTATTTTCCTGACACTATCTCCTCTTCTCTTTCATGTTGGTCATGGGCTGGCAGTAATTTTTTGCAAATGAAGAAGGGTCATTCTTGTAATGGATACTGTGCTTTGGAGCCCATATGTTGTAGAACACAAATGGGGTTTTAAATTCCATGGCAAGTGTGTTCAGTGATGCAAAAGCCTGATTCTGTTTTTATAGCTCCTCTGGGTTCCCGTTCTCCTGTAGAAATGCCAAGGAGAAGAGAAAAACATTACCATTGTCTCTGGAGAGAAAGCTGCTCTTTAGTAATCTCCTCAATCAAGTATTCCTCTAATAGCTTTCAAAAGTTATTTTCCTCCCTCAGTTTAAGTCCCCATCCATGCTATTCCATGCTAAACACAATGGCTGTTCTTAATACGTGACCATTCTTAAAAAATACTGCAGTGAAAACCTTACATGGAAGAACACATGGCAAATTTTCCATCTCATACTCAAATTTCTGTAATATTGTTTTGAAAACAAGTTTAACATTATGGAGCAGAGAAGATTTTGCTTCAAGATTTTGTTTGTTTGAATGGAAATAACTGCTCCTTGCTAGGATATTTTTCTTTACCAGAACAGAGCAATATTTGCTTTGGTTCTGTTTCAGATGAGTTTCCTGAAACACATCGTGCATCAATTCGCCAGGACCACGAGGGAAGATTTTATGAAGATTTTTACAAGTATGTCTGAAGGTTCTTCTAAAGATTCTTTCACCTCTCACAATGTATTTGCAACCCACATTTTGAATATGCAGTTATTAATTCTAGTAACTTGCAAGAAGTTATCACTGTGAAAAATATTTATGTCTGAAAATGGCAGCAAATCAATGAATATTTCCCATCCGTTTAGCAAGTGCAAACCTATCGATAGCCGCTAGATTATTCTTTCACTTGTAGGCGAGTATATTATTTTCTGCACTTTTGAGTTTATTGGCAATTCCAATAAAGTTCTGTAGTAGTGTTTCATAGAATCATAGAATCATAGAATGCCGAAGGTTGGAAGGGACCTCAGAGGTCATCGAGTCCAACCCCCCTGCTCAAGCAGGGTCACCTAGAGCACGTGGCACAGGGCTGCATCCAAGCAGGTTTTAAAGATCTCCAAAGAAGGAGACTCCACAACCTCTCTGGGCAGCCTGTTCCAGTGCTTTGTCACCCTCACAGTGAAGAAATGCTTCCTTAAGTTCCTGTGGAACTTCCGATGCTTCAGTTTGAAGCCATTTCCTCTAGTCCTATCCCTGCTCACCACTGAAAAGAGGCCGCCCCCCTCCTCCTCACTGCCTCCCTTGAGGTATTTATACACGCTGATCAGGTTTGCAGTAGTTTATACTTAAGGCTTGGTTATCTTTTAACTCTCTACTTTCCTAAAGCTGAAGAACAGATGGTGCCACTACTGAAACTTGAAATATTTCCAGTGAGTTCCTAGAGCTTTTAGGTTGGTGGTCACAGCAGAGGCAGCTACAGACGCTGTTGGCTGGCTCTGAACTTGAGCTTGTTCAGAGTCTTACTGCTTTGCAGTACAGAAATGTTTTTGATATATAAAACCAATTGTTTTAGTAGGATTGTTTTTGGAACAGACTTTATAAAAGCTGTCAGGAGCAAGGGAAGAAACTATTCAGAGCTGGCCATGTGCCCAGCTTTGTGTTTGCATCTTTAATGGTTGGTACAAATATTGAGCAGTTCTAAAGCACTACCTAGAAGAGGGAAGTTTTTTTCTTTTTTTTTTTTCTCCTCCTGTAGCTATAGATTATTCATCTATTTTTCTCATTATAGCTTCCTTTTACAATCCTAATTAAGTTGTGTTCTCTCCAGAGTTGTGGTTCAGAATGAGAGACGAGAAGAATGGACCTCCTTGCTTGTGACCATTAAAAAACTTTTTATCCAGTATCCTGTGCTAGTACGTCTGGAGCAAGCAGGTATGAGAAGCTCCCTCCCTCATGTTTTTACCCTTTTGTTTGAAAATTGCCTGTGAACTACTTAGTCTCAGTTGGAGTCTGCTATTTGCAGTACTTAACAGTACTTTCTTGTACTGCAGTGCTTTCTTGAAGAAGCTGCTCTGTTTATATCTTTCTGAGAGCAAACAAATACCAATTTTGTTAATAAGTTGTACTACCAAAGCAATTTTCTTTAACAGGTAATTTATATGGAGCTAATTTCTCTCTCCTCTCTTTTTAATTTCCTTTTTTCAATCCTTGGACCACTTGCTCAGAGGGCTTTCCACCAGGTTACAATTCCACCTCAGCGCAAGGGAATTACCTGGAGGCCATAAATCTTTCATTCAATGGTAAGTTGTGAACAATGGATAAAAATATACAGAGGAGAAACCATTAAAGCAGCTATTAATAAATGGATGTGGACTTCTGCCTGGTGCTTAACACTGGGAAGAGGAGAAATATTAAGTGCTTAAATTTGTTATTTTCTGCTTTCAGGAAAAAGTGTTCTGTTTCTGTGTCTGGAAAATCTTGCTATCAACCTCAAATAACTGAGTATTGAGTAGTTCAGTCTTCAGGAGACATTACAGAGCCTTGTTAGATATTTTTTGTCTGCCTGTTTTTGTGATTCTTTACAACAGATATCTTTCACCTTGATGGCTAATTACTAGTTATTGGGAGAAAGCACATCATGTTACTTAATCTAATTATCAATCAGATTAAGGATTTATTTTTTAAGATGTAATAAAGGAAGCACTGAGCATATGAGAAAAATATTCCTATGTGCATACGTCTACTTTCCATCTTTGTCTCCTCTGCTCTGGCTCCTCTCTCTTTCCTGTAGCTTTATTGGTCCTAATGGATTGGACAAGGCTGCATCCGAGTCTTCGCATGCTTGTGTTGGCTTTGAGGAATCCTGCTTAATATCACTGTTCATGTCATACTGCTCCATGAAAACATCCATCATGCTTTTTCTTTTAAACTGTGTGTCTTCTCTGGCTCTTCCTCCTAGTGTTCGACAAGCATTACATTAACCGAAACTTCGACCGAACCGGCCAGATGTCTGTGGTTATCACGCCTGGCGTGGGGGTCTTCGAAGTAGATCGACTCCTTATGATTCTGACCAAGCAGCGCATGATAGACAATGGTAAATGCTTGCAATTCTGGGCAGCTTTTATAAATGCAAATAAGTAAATCTTGGAAAAGCTCTGCTTTCTTTGTCCCGGAGAAAACAGCTATTGTAACCTGTGGCTGTGGAAAAAGGGATAGGAAGATAAAGAGGTATATGGAAAACTTGTCTCCAAGCTTTGAATTGAAATGACCAAGCTTTTAGAGAACTGAAAAGTAGTTCATGTCACATGAGCTGAAGGTAGTTGGGAACTTAATCAGTCATGTCAGACCTTTCCCGTGAAGGGTAATTTGTGTCATTTCCATTAATTTAGAAGAAATGCCTCCTGTATCTCCACTGATGCTGTCAGTTTGCATTTATATCAATTCCTATTCATTGATTTTTTTTTTGATTGATGATCATTCCCAATCATTTCCTAACTAGTATTTTCATTAAACTGCATCTTAAAAGTCTCCTAAACACAATGTGGAGCTTAGTGCCAATTCAGAATCTCTTTTGTCTTATAGCATGTTAGTCCTCCGTGTTGTATAGCTGAACTCTTCTGTTCCTTGTTTATAGGGATTGGTGTGGACTTGGTATGCATGGGAGAACAACCACTACATGCTGTTCCACTCTTTAAGGTAATGGAAACTTCTTTTCCCTTCTCCCTCTCCCAGTACAAATGTTACTCGCATTGTTCCTAGCTTGACATAACTGATTGCTACATTTCTGAATTTCTCTTCTAGCTCCACAATCGCTGTGGTCCTGGGGACTCCAGGCTAGGTGATGACTACAATATCCCACACTGGATAAACCACAGGTAGGTGAACCTAAAGTTTATGAGGAAATCCTGCTAAGCTGTTGTGCTGTGATGTGCTTTTTTCTGTATAGATATGCTGAATTCTCTTTCTTGTTTTGCTGTTCATTTCTTCTGCTCGGCTTGTGAAGCACAGGCAGATATCACAAGAGCCTTGCGGAAATAGGAGCACTTTTGTAGAATGGGGAATGCAAAAGTTAGCAGGTTAAGAAGTCTAGACAGAGTGTATGGAAATCAAAGGCTTGCTGTTTAGGAAGAAGAGTAGCTTCTCTCATCTTAACCTTATCCATCTTTTAAATATGTTGTCGTCCTCAAGAATGTTCTTCACTTTTCTCTATCTAAAAGCTTGCTCAAAGTGAAGTAGCTGACCAGCCTTCTTACTTAGTGTTTACTTCCTAGAAAACAGCTGAGGAAGCCTTTTTTTTCTTTTCAGTTTCTACACATCCAAAAGCCAGCTCCTTTGCAACAGTTTCACCCCACGGATTAAGCTGGCAGGAAGAAAGGTAGGTATATTCTAATTATTTCTTCTTATGAGTTAAGCAGATAATATTTTTTTTTCTCAGCCAGATATCAGAATCTTTCTAGCAATGTTCACATTTGAACTATAGAAACTAATTTTTGTGTTAAGACAGTTTAATTAAGGGAGTGTGAATGAGGGGCTCATTTCTATATCTGTCTCTTCTAGGATAGAACTAGATGAGAAATATTTTAGATGACGTAAAAACTAGAGATTGATTTGTAACAGAGAACTCTTTAGTGAGGAGGAAAGGTGTGAGCAAAGGTGTTTGTTTTACACTGTGGATTGTGACTGAGTGTCAGTACTTCATGTTGCTTAACTGTGGTTTGGCTGCCTCGTTTAGTTGGGATAAACTGTGTTTCTCCACTAGATACAAGTGTGATGGTTGATCATTCCAGAGGGGATATTTGCTTAGAACACACTGACTTTTTCTCCCCTCCTTCCTGTCCTGTTTGTTGATGTGTGTCCCTTCACGCTTCCTTTGTTGGATCCTCCAGCCACTGGTCGAGAAGGCAAAAAGTAGCCGAGATGCCTGTGAGTAATTCTATTGTGGAAGGGCCTATCCCCCTGGCTCACAAGATGATTAGTAGTTCTAGTAATGACACTAGAGCAAAAACACTATTGGTGAGATGCTGAAAGGGATAAGTGTTGCAGAAAATTCACAAAAACAGTTTTTATCAAGGATGCTAATACATGCGTATGAACTGCCCTCTTGGCAAATGGAGAGAGGATAGAGATTCTGTCCTGACTGGACTAGAAAATAGATTGTATGATACGGGTGTGCAAGAAGGGCTGCTTGTAGGAATGAGACAAGAGCACACCAACTGGCTTGCCGGGATGTTGTCAGTATTATGTACACAAAAAAGAGGGAAAATCTGCATTCTTTTAATATCAACTCATTTCAGGAAGGTGTATGTGCTTTTATGTCCAATCTTTTAAAGATACTTTAAAATGTGCAATTTCCTCTTTGAGATGTTTGCCTCTGTTCATACAGGGATTCTGGATTTAATATCTGGTTATCAGGGGGAAGCTAATTAGTGGCTCAGCAACTCTCGTTAAGAGGCTCTGAGCAGATGCATCTGCTGTATTGTTCTGCTCATGAGACTTTGGCATGCGGTTTCTTTTGGAATAGTTATTGCTGTGTGTGGTAAAAGTTGGTGGCTTCTAACTTGCAGATCTTGAACAACATTCTTGAAAGGAGTTCCAGTGTTTTATGATTTTATTTCAGCTATAGGGGCTCCAAAAGATGCTGAGAATGCCCTACCTATCCAGGTGGATTATGATGGCTACGATGCCCAGGTGTTCAGACTGCCAGGCCCGTCCAGAGCACAGCGTTGCACCACTTTCAGGTACGATGCTCGTGAGCACACTGATTCCAGAGCAGCATGCTGGGAGAGATGGACTTGTGTTATTCTTTGCCTTTCCTTCCTTCAGATGCATTGTTTAAGGAAACTGGGTTTGTAGACTCCTGTTCACTTGAGCAGCTTGTACAAATCTATAATGAAAGATGCCAATACAATTTCCTGGAGTTAATGGTTTACTGTAGTTTCTTTCTAGCTCTGTGTTTGCAGCTATGTACACTCAGGTCTAGTATCTTTTACACCACATCTGCATGATGCAGCTTGGTGTGCTGTCTGTAGCTGTGCATAAGGAGTTGAGTCACTGTGTTGGAAGCATTTTATTTCTGTGTCCCTGTATAGTGTAATGTACAAAAGTATACCGTACCTCTATCATGAAAAAATGGTGATAGCTTTTTTGTAGCCTCCTTGAGCTCAGCTGTCCAGTACTGAGTCTCTTACATATTGGACCTGTTCTGTTGTGACCCTGTGCCACATGCTCTAGGTGCCCCTGCTTGACCAGGGGGTTGGACTAGAGGATCTCTAGAGGTCCCTTCCAACCTCAACCATTCTGTGGTTCTGTGGAGCCCCTTGATAATCTAGGAGTTAATTGATCTCTCTCATATCACTGGACATGTCTTTTATTTTCATTAGGTCTGTGAGGGAGAGGGAAAGTCGTACCAGGAAGAGCTCCAGTTCCTATGACGTGTCCTGCAGCCCTTCTCTGCAGAGCCGCACGCTGCCTCCAGAGGAGGTGAGGAGCCAGGCTTCTGATGACAGCTCCTTGGGCAAGATCTCCAACATCCTGATGATCCCCCGGCCTCACCTGCACCAGTATGAAGTCAGCAGCTCTTTGGGCTATACCAGCACCCGAGGTCAGCCTGAGGCGGATGGGAAGCAATCTTAGGTGGTGAGAGGGGAGAGAGAAGATGGAAGTTGATGTTGACCACAGCCAGGCCAGCACAGAGGAGGTGGTGCTCACATTAGTATTCCTGCTGTAGCTTTTCCGCAGCTCTTAACTATTACTGGGTGTGCATTTTTCTTTGTGTATTTCTTTTTACTGGATTGTCCTAAATAATGTGTCCTGACACTGATTTACTCATTTCCCTTGTCTATTACCATTTTTAAATTCCTGTGCCTCTCTGCAAATGTGAACAGGTACAGGTAACTTCTTATTATCCAGGTCACTTCTAATCAGTGAAATAAAAATTTGCCTTAGTGGTGAGCCCTGGGGGGACCCTACTTATAACTTCTCTCTGTTAGGGTTTATTGTCATTCGTTGTCACTTTCTGGATCCTTCCTTTTGATAGCACACTGCTGAGCCATCGTGTTGTGTTAGTAGTGGTGATAGTCCCTTTTTTTTTTTTTTTTATCTTCTCATTTAAGTCTTTTTCTCAGGCAGCATGTGGTATCTTTCACAGGCCTTGATTGTTTCTAGGTAAATTATATTCCCACTTGAATTACTTTATTTTCTTTAGAATTGGTTTGCTATCTCTGAAGGCTGTTTATGCCTTTTGTTTTCTCTTGCTATATGGCACTTCTGCCCAATCTAACGCTAACTTTATATTGTATTTTCCAGATGTCCTTGAGAACATGCTGGAGTCTCAGCAACGGGACTCCAGCGCCCCGGGGAGGTTCCACGTTGGCAGTGCAGAATCCATGCTGCACATTCGGCCTGGGGGTTACACCCCACAGCGAGCCCTCATAAACCCCTTTGCCCCGTCCCGCATGCCCATGAAGCTTACGTCAAACAGGAGGCGCTGGATGCACACTTTTCCTGTGGGTAAGGCTCTTGTCATAGCGTGTAAAATGGCAGTGACTTCTTTCTTGTCCAAACATCAGCCCAACGAGAGAAACAGCCTGAAATCCAGTGTCTTGAAATACTCTGTGCTGTAATATTAGCTGAACTAAGAAGATGTAGGCTTGATAAAGCAAAGATACTATTGGAAAAATAATGTTTTAGTAAACTTGGAGCATCAGATACTGTGGAACAAGTTTATAGCAGATGGAGGTGGTGGAAGTGCAGGATTGCTATGGTTTGGATTTGGCTTCCAGGTGCTGAATCATTTGTTTAATGCCTTGTAAATAGCCCTTCCAAGCTGTTCAGGAGTGTATTGTGTTTCTCTGGCTTCTGAAAAGATGCCGGAGATTGATCTTGGAAGATTTCCTAAGCCAGTTTTCTTAATTTTCACTAGTTAGAGTGGCTCAGGCTGTTGATGAAAGACAGCTATAAGCAAATGAGAACAATTAAGAAAACAAAGACAGATGAAATGGTTGATGATCACGTTTTAACTGGGTAGGTCCGTCAGGAGAAGCTATCCAGATTCATCATCAAACCCGCCAGAACATGGCAGAAATGCAGGGCAATGGGCAGCAGGATTTGACACACTCTTCTGCTGAGCTGCTGGAGCTGGCTTACCATGAGGCAACGGGCAGGTAAAGTCCTCCAGACAGCCCTGGGGCTGTGTGATATGTCAGAACGGGGCCTAGTAACTATCAGGGGACGATATGGATCGATATTGAACCTTATTGGGAGATAGTGATTGTTCCTATTTGTGTCACACGTGCATCAATTTGCGTGTAAGGCCAGTGGTGCTCTTGGTAGGCACCGATGACTGTCGATGCAGACGAGCTTTGACATCCATGGACCTGGAAGGGTATTGGCTTCCACACATATCCCTGGGGCACAATGTTGTCTAGCCACAGCAAACATCAGGGGGGCTGCAAATGGAAATGTCTGTGTTCTTAAAGTATAAGCCTTGGTCAATAGTAGGGCTTATATTTTCACTGGCTGGCTCTGAGAGGGGAGAAAGATTCCAGTATTTTTGGAAGACGGGAAACGGTTCTCGCAGTGAGAACAATTTGATCCCTCATTTCGTCTAGGCCGTCTGTCAAGCTGCTCAGTTAGTCTGCAACCTCCACATACTCCTTTCCTGTTCTATATCTGATTATTTTCTTTTGACAATACTTTGTCCATATTTTTCACTCTTTTCTTGTTTAAGATTGTTTACCGAAAGCATTTTGGTAGCTTCTGTAACTTCAGAATTGCCAATAAGATAGTTTGTATCGCCATTAGTTCTAATGGGTCTTTTCCCTGCTGGGTGTTTCTTTATTCTTGCAGGCTTGTAAAAGCTCTTGTTACTGTGTATGAATGTCAGGGGTGACTGAGGTTCTCACCGGTATCCTCTCCCTCTTCTTTTTCCCCTGCTATCATTGAGCAGTCCTTCAGGAAATTACATGGCCTGATTTTTTTTCCATATGTTTGTTTTTCTTAGAGAATTTGTTTTATGTGTTGTAGTATCCTTTGGGATTCGCTCATATTCTTCCAAGTTGCATCATTTTAATATTATACCGTACTCACCTCCTTTTTAGTCCATTATTGCCTTTCTTGCCTTTCTTTTGCTTTATATGAACATCCTACTATGCTATTAAGGGCAATCCTTTTGGCTGTCCTATTCTTGATGATAGTCTTTCTGGGTGACACGGTCATCCAAAGCGATTCGCTCAATCTGGCATGTTTGTTTTCCACGCTATGAGTTCATATCTGTGAATAAATAAGCCTTATTTGTCTCCTGGATGGTATATGAGTGGCTTGGTCCTCCCCACCAATCTGTAAAAAAATCTTGCACTGGTCATTGCTGGAGGCAAAGATCCAAATGCAGCATTAGGAGAGGGGTTCACCTGAGACAGCAAACTGCTTGCTTATTTGTCTTGTTAAAATTGAGTGAGGAAACTCAGTTTCTATAGAAATACAGGCTCTTTTCTTTTTCTAGACATGTCAGCTCTCGTCATCCTGGTGACAGTGCCTCTTTCCTGAGCTTTGGTGGAGTAGAGGAATATTCCAATGGCCTGGCTGGTGGCAACAGTGCGGGTAAGGAAGCAGAGGGAGAGCATGCGAGGCCTGCAGGAGCAGCGGCAAAATAACACAAGCAAAAATCCTGCAGAGTGGGCGTACCTGTAACCAGTGGTTATGAGAAAGAAAGAATGAACAATGATTCTTCTTTTTCTCAAAGCCAATTTGAAGATTTTTTTGAATTTCCATTTCTAAATTATAGTTGGATGAAAAGAATTGTTTTTTTCCCCCTGTGCTCTCTTCTCATAAAACCAGGAAGAAGTTTTGTTGGCAGATATGATTTTCTTATGTCTTGTCTTATTTTGAAATAATTTCTTTAAAGATGATTTTTCTTGTGTCCTTTTGTGTTTTATTTGCTTTAAAGGTGATTTCTGTTGTGCCCTTTTGTATTTCATTTGCATGTCTGTCATGCTTTCACTTTACTTTTTTTTTTGCCTTCCAGATACAGTTTGTTTGTTCTGGCAGTTTTTCCAGCTGCTGGGTGTAATTTGCACAACCTAGAGAGAATATCCTGGCAATCAACATACTTGAATTTTATAGAAGTCCTTCACATCTGCAGATTGCCTATAAATCATGTATATGGTAGAAGTTAATCTGTGTCTGCGTGACTTCGTGGAGGTCGTTATGAGCCACCTTCCCTGACTTATGAGCCACCTTCCCTTGCCATCTGTGGCTGCCACGCGGTGACTCAGTGGCTTCACTCATATTTCTCCCTTACGATTTGAGTCACCTGTGAAATGAAACAGTTCTTTTTTTTTCTAATTTCCAAAAATATGGTTTCTCAGGGAGTTTGATTGGTTCCTCTGTGCCAGCATACTCGCTGCACCACGTGCTACGTGGTGAAATATTCCCCCTGTCTTCACAGTGACATTCAGCATGCTGTGTCCCTCGCCCAGCAGATGGTAGGTGGCAAATCAGAGCAAATAAATCTTGCTGCATTTCCCTAACGAGGTGGCAGGTGGCATCAGAGTAGCTGCTGAAAGCTGAATGCCAATGAGACCCATCTCCTGTTCTGCTGTACTGGCATCATCTGATAGGGAATGCTGGTTAGAATAGCAACTCTGATGCAGCTATTTATTTCCTGGATAAATCCACATAAGCCAGCTTTATAAAAATGGCTCTTCTAAATGTTTGGAGACCTTATGAAGTCTGCATTTTGATGTATATTTTTTAAGCCAGCAAACTGCCTTGTCTCCTCAGCTGCTCTTTTCTCTCTCAAGCCAGAAGAGCTGCATATGCAGCTACATACCTGCACGCAGAACCAGCTCAGGGACCTGATGCAACTGAGAAATTGCTGAGAATTTTCTTTCCATGCTGGATTGTTTCATTGTAGCTATAAAAAATGCCTACAAATACGGCAGAAAGATGTGGAAGGGGGGGCCTGGGAGGAAATGGGCAAAGGATAATGAGGTTCAGCATCCTCGGAGCCCTTGGTTCAGCTTTGGTTCTCCAGGTTGTTTAACAGACTGCCTAAACCCAGTCCTTTGGGCAGTGTAAAAAATCGTAGTGTCTAAGCCTTAATCAAGACTTAAATGTAATTTTTCATTAGTCCAAGTCTACTATAAATCTTTAGCTTAGCACAAATGACTGAACTTGCTGAAAATCAGGGCATTTCTTTAAATGTTGGGGTTGTGGTGAATTTGTATCATGATTTGGATAAATTACTTGGGGCTTTTATTAAAGCTTATATATATATATTTTTTTTTCCCTCCTTCTCAGCAGGTGAATGTGTGTTGTAATTTCTTTTCTTGCTGCTTCTGTATTCTATGACATTCTTTTTCTTAATTCTTGACTTTTTCCTAGAATGAAAATCTGATCAAAAATATTCTGCTTTTGAGTGTTGACTGGATTTACAAGTATAATTACCCCCTGAGACCTTGGGATTAGCATACTGAATACTTACAAGTGACTCCTTTTTTATTGTTTGCCTTTTTAATGGTATATATTTTTAAAGATGTGTGTCACCATTTGGGGGAGATTGTTCTTAAAAAAAAAAAAAAAAATTATCAAATTGTTGAGCAGTGTTAATGAGATGTTTGAATGTCACTGAAGATATCTCGCTTACCCGTTAATTGGCTTTGTGTGTTGTGCAGAACCATGAGCTTTTCTCAGAAAGAGAGAGAGAAATGTTGTCATTCTTAAAACATTTGCATGCTTTTATTTATTTTTATTTGGAATGAAAGACAAAACTGAAGTGCACATGATTGCTTAAATTATGAAAGGTGGACTCTTTTTTTTTTTTCTGTGTAGGAATGAACCTCAAAGCTCAGAACAAGGATTCACTGGAAGATGCTATTTCTAACTCTCCAGATCCAAGTAAGCAGAAGGAAGGTTTGTACAACAGGTTTGCATGGGGGGGGAGATAGGAAAGGGTGTGTGCCTGGCTAGAAGCATCAGGATGGGGTAGGCAAGAAACTGGGAGGAAATGTTGGGTTTTGGCGGGCGTTTTGCTCTGCAGTAACTGGCAGGATCTCGGTGCATGGTGCGTCGCACGGAGACTGCGGTTCTGTAGCTGTTAGGAATATCTCAAATGGGTTGTCGTGTTACTTGCACAATTCTTTCCAGACACTATCGTGCATAAACTTGCTGATCCTGCTTCTCAGGATGAAAGGTTTGCTTGACAGCAACTAGTTGAAGCAGAATTAGTATATTCAGTTTCTGTATTTGGTACCATTTACAGAGAACTATGTGCCTTCATCTAACACAGAAACAAGCCTGTGACTGCTTAAGGAAACATTTTCTTTGTAGCACTCTGTATAATTTTCTTGCAATGTTTGGCCCATTAATGTTAACATTTTCATTACTAAATATGTATATATTTTTTTTTAACTCTAAGATCTCTGTGACAGTATATTGAGAATTAGCAGTTGGCTGAGTACCTTGAGATAGATTGGTTGAGGCAGGTTGCAATGTAACACAGTAGTGAAGTCATGATGTGATATAATTGAGTTGGCTTTTGCTTTTAATGTCTGGGTTTAGATCTCCAGAATCCTGAAATTGCAACACAGCTCTGGGAAATGGTGTAGAAAAGGAATGCTTTCCAAATTACTATTTTTCTCATCTTCCCACCCCTCTGGGTCTGTCTCCTGTTTTTATAGAAATACTCCCTTTTCTGCTCTTCTACTATGCCAGAAACAGGCCAGCCTGTCATTCTCTCCCTCTCCCCATCCCTAGCTCCTTCTGCAGTTATCCAGGATGCAAAGCTGGTCTGATTTTCTTGTTCAGACTTGGAATGTTGCTCTGGTTTTGGTATTTATAATCTGTAATTGCACCTGATTTGCTATAATTTTGGCAGAGCGGTGGCTGTGTCAGCTCTAGCTTTCAATCAACTGAAAATTAAACATATTAACTTTGAATCCCATTTGCATGGTGGGATTAAACTAGCATGTGCACTGCATTGTTTAACAAACTCTGTCTCTTTCTCTCCCTCCCTCTTCCCCTCTTACTGTCCTTTTCTATTTCCATTCCACCCTCTTTCTGTCTCTGTTGACTTTGTGCGGACTCTGCACTTGTCCCTAATTCTTTCCACCTTTCTTCACGTTTCTCTCATCTTCTGCACCCTGGTTTTTATGGGTGACCATATATGCCCCCGTTGTCTCCCCCGCCAACTATACGAGGCAGTTCTGACGCTGTCTGCTCCCCCCGTAGTGCCAGGCTTCTGTTGTACAGTTGGAGTGGACTGGAAATCTCTTACTACTCCGGCGTGTCTCCCTCTTACCACGGACTATTTTCCTGACCGTCAAAGTCTGCAGAACGATTACACTGAGGGCTGCTATGATCTCCTGCCAGAAGCTGATATTGACAGGTTTGCCAGCACTTTCTCTGTAAGGTATCTTGAACTGGATCAAAATGCTTAAGGTGTGGTTGGTGGAAGACGAGTGCCATGGAGTCTGCACAAGAGAAGGATGGATTGCCAGCGTAGTTGGCAGTGGAATACTTAATTTTCCCTTTTCAGTGGTAACTTTGCACCTTTTCTGATATATTGTTATTTTAGCAGCTTTCATGTTGGAAGTGGTTAGAAGGGTATAATTTGACTTCTCCCTACTTTGTTAATCACCTTTGTTAATCTGTTTTCCAGCAAGTCTTTTAGAACTGCTAAATGAACAAACGTGCACACATACAGAATATATAAGATGCTTATCCTGACTTCTAGAGATATTTAGTTGAAAGCATTTTGGAGAAAAACAATGTTAATGGGATAGTCTCTGAGCTTCTCTTGCAAGTCTCTGGTAACTATTCTTTAATTGCATTGACTTTCTGAAGCTGTGTCAACCTTTAAAACATCTTTCAAACTCTGCACAGTTTATACAGCATCAGACAAGCCTCAGCATATTGCTACTTTATGAGGGGAAAGAAAAAATGCAGTAGTCAAGGTAACTGAAACATTGAATCCTGCTAGTAAATAACAGAATTAAAGAAATGTTGTAGCCCTTTACAGCTGGAGGACAAAGTTCTGGAGAGCAGAAGTAGATGTAATGGTATCTGTGATGTGGAGTCTCTCCTTATTCTCAGTTGGTGGTTGGTGCTTGAACTGTTTTTGGGTTTCTCTGCTCCAGACTTGCCCCTTGGGGATAGAGTGAAGCCCCCACACTTGCAATTGTGGGTGCTGCTGAACTTACTGCAGCACTGTGGGTGCTGCAGACTTACAAACTGCACTCCAGATACTCTCAAAAGTGCTGTAAAAGTGATCATTGATAAACTAATCTGAAGTTGAACGGCTATTGTGAGCAAAATGGGTTTGTCTACTCAGTGTCTGCAACTTGTTTCAAAACTGCTTTCGAAGACATTAATAAATATTGCCAGAGAGGTACCCATCACCTGCTGTAGACAACAGAAAGGTACCCATTCTTTACGGTTCCAGCAGGTTGATTTTGTCAGGCAGAGGGCTCCACTCGCACAGACCCAATGCAAGAAGAAATCTTCAGCCAGGAAAGGCAGAGCTAAGAACGGCCACATGCTCAGCTTCCTTATTCTAGTCTCCTTTTTAACCTTTGTGCTCAGGAGAGATGAGGAAGGGGTGCAGATGACAGCCCAGCAGGTGTTTGAGGAGTTTATTTGTCAGCGTCTCATGCAAGGCTATCAGATTATTGTGCAACCCAAACCACAGAAACCAGCCCCAGCCGTGCCACCCCCACTCAGCAGCAGTCCCCTGTACAGCAGAGGTGAGTGACTTTACACTAACACTGCAGACTTTTGTTATTCAGTCTTTCCAGCAGTGCCAGCAACCTTCACAAATCAGGTGTTAGTCACTTCAGCTACTTGTTTTTTTCTTATTTTGACAAAATGCCACCTGTGCCACTAATGACAAAAAGCCACCTGTGAGGCAGCACAGACACCTTGGATTAAAAAAAATCAAAGGAGTGACCCCAAATGAAATACGATATCAGTATTGTTTGAGTGAACATAGCTTAAACGCAATTCACATGGTGACTGCAGAGCAGGTAGATCTCTAGGAAAACAGAGCAGACTCTCAAAATGGATTTATTTGAAAGTCTGGAAGTGCTTCCTAACTCTAAAATAACTGTAAATCTTAGGTGAACAGACAAAGCTTCACTGTCCTACAACCATGATTCAGCTGCACCTTGTTAGACCACAGAGGCCTGGGAGATGGGAGCTTTCATTCCCTTGAGAGAACCTAACTCCATTAGTTGGCTTCAGACATTTCTGAATATTCCATAGACAGGTTGGAGTTCATAGAGAAGGGAATACACACAAGCAGGATATAGTTGTTATTCTGTGCTATAGGAATGAGCAGCCTTTAGCCTTTGGTGAAGTGTTAAACTGAAGTGGCTAATTCCAGGGATGAGACATAGAGAGGAAGGGAAAATGGAGCCTTTTTTTTTTTTTTTTTTTTAAATCACATCTGCCAGTTTCTCAGCACTTCATATTGTCTGCTCTCAACTTGTCTTTGCCATGGAAAGTCTGTGCTGGTAGTTAGGAATTGCAAGTGCCCTTCATCTTTGGTTGTGCCATTAGCAAAGGAGAACTGTCAGAACATAAGGCATCATACAAAGAAGTGGCCTTAGAGATGGCTCTTAGTTTATGCCGAAGTTCAGAAACCTGATCCTGGGTGTGGGTTGTTGACAATGTTCTGACTAGTGCTATAAGCTTCAAACAGGTGAGCATTTTGCTTTTTACAATTAGGTCTTGTATCAAGGAATCGGCCAGAGGAAGAAGATCAGTACTGGCTGAGTATGGGCCGTACTTTCCACAAAGTAACATTGAAAGACAAAATAATTACTGTGACTCGGTACCTGCCAAAGTGAGTATCCATTTATTTGAGCGCTTTAATCTTAATTTTTCAGATGAAAATGTTTTTTCAAGTATTTGTACTTGCTTGGAAGAATGTACTGTAGAGCCTTCTCTCTCTTCAGGAGAAGGAAGAGAAGCACTGCTGTTGATGATGCTGAAATTAAGGTTTGCTTGATCTCTTAGGTATCCCTATGAATCTGCTCAGATAAACTACACATACAGCTTATGTCCCTCACACTCGGACTCTGAATTTGTCTCTTGCTGGGTAGAATTTTCCCATGAGCGACTGGAAGAGTATAAGTGGAATTACTTGGATCAGTATATCTGCTCTGCTGGCTCTGAGGATTTCAGGTGAGATTTCGTCTTCCATCCAGACTGTTCTGTGTCCTAATTTCCTTTTTTCTTCTTTTTGACCTAAAATTTCTTTAGCAAGTTCAGCCTACGAAAGCTCAGTACTCCGGGGAGAGCTGCTGGCCTGATTTCATTTGTGTGCTGCCAGCAGCTTTGCCACCCTTGTGTGAGTGTATTGACATTGCTGTTGTATTATCTGGTCTTTTGATGCAAAGGCTTGATCAGAAAATTCGGTGATCACAAAATTCTGTTTTCTCCTTTCCTACAAATGCAAAGAAATATATATTTTATATCTCTCGGGTGCTTTGCTTGGCTTCTTACTCATTTCTGTGTCTGCCTGAAAGCTTCCGTTTAATTCTGAAACTCTTGGAGGCAGGTTTGAGTCCTAGGCTTAGCTTGACTCTAATCCTACTCCTAAAGTATAGAGTGTAGACTTTTTGGTATCTTAAAACAGAACCAGTCTTTCTGTATCTTTCTTTTCAGGTCTCAGCCTGTTTCTGTGGCTGTAGCATGTACCTCTGAAATTCGTTTTATTTTGCTGATTTCTGGAGGAAAAGCATTTGTAGCCATATTTCTGTGACATATTACAGAAAAGGAAGTATATCCTTATGATATAACTGTTCTAAAGATGTCCTGGTGCTCTCCCCTGCATATCAATGTGTTGGAATACATCCCAGTGCTCTGTTCTTTCTCACACAGTGGGTAGCAAAAGGAGGTTTTATTGTGATTGCCGAGACTCACAGCCTCCAGATAAACATTTACTGACCACAAAATCCTGCCTGGGCAGCTGTGGTGACCTCTATCCTGTCCTTCCCCCAGCCTTATCGAGTCGCTGAAGTTCTGGAGGACCCGCTTCCTGCTGCTGCCCGCGTGCATCAGTGCCACCAAGCGCATCATGGAGGGCGAAGCACACTGCGACGTGTACGGAGACCGGCCGCGCTCCGACGACGACGAGTGGCAGCTCCTGGATGGCTTCATTCGCTTCGTGGAGGGCCTGAACCGCATTCGTCGACGCCATCGCTCTGATAGAATGATTAGGGTGAGTCGGAGGTCGGCTAGGCATGGGGCTCTGTGGCCCCTTTGTCCCCTCATGGTGTTTTGCCATCCACTGTGTGATTTTATGGAGCATTAGGAGACACAGTTGAACAAAATGGGGTGTATGGGCTCTGTGTGTGTCTGCATGTGCAGCACAGTCCTGTGCTGACAGCCGAACTATTTCAGAGCTGAAACAGTATGGCCAGGTCAGCACTTTGCTACTCCCAAGCTGCTGAAGTGATTGAAATGTGCCAGGAATGGGCATCCCTCCATGCTGACGTGACTGGAACCAGGAACAGGACAGTTAGCTCAGCCTGAGGGCAGTCAGACCCCTCTGCACAGCGCACTGTGGCTGCTCTGTCTACTCCTTAGCTATCTGTTCTTCACCCGAGTCTGGTGCCACCTCTTTGCAGTGTGCCTTGCTTTGTGTTGTACCTGTGTATGTTATGGCAGATTGTGAGGCAGGACATTGCTGAGAAGGAGTTTTTGAGGGAGGGGAGCTGTAGCTGCCAGCTGGACTGGCTCTGTGCAGCCCACTGAGGAAAAGCAATGTGCAGAGAGAGCCATGTCGTTGACTTCTTGGAGAACAGTCTTAAGGCAGCCATCAAAGTGGCTGAGATGCATCAAATTCTCCTCAAATTCACCTACTGAATGGAGTGACTTAGAAGAAGTCACTTTTATTTAAAGAACAGTTATTTTTTTTCCTGAGAACAGCACCCACATAAGACGCTGGGCTGGTCCATTTTGCATGTACCTATGTTTTAACTCCCCATTCAAAGGTGCTTCTCAAAGCCCTGCTGACATGGGCTCCTCGCTTACTCCTAAAGCCTTTTTGACTGGGTCTGTGCTTTCATTTCTTCCCCTATAGAAAGGCTCTGCCCTGAAAGGGTTGCAGATTGCGGGTCCGATTCCCACCCACTCTCTGGAGCAGGCTGGGCCTCCCATTGGGAAGAAAGGAACATCGGCGCTCTCGGCCCTGCTGGAGATGGAAGCCAGTCAGAAGTGAGTCCCTGCGGCCGCGCGACCCACTGCACAATATCCTTCCTCAATATCTTCCTTCTGTACTGGCTAAAGCAGATTAGGACAACTTTGCCTTGAAATAAGGGTTTGGGGATCCTCCTGCTTCAGTATCCTTGAAACTGTACTGGAGTTCTCCAGGGATTTTTGTATATTCCTTTTCCATAACATAATGAATACCAGAGATGGGGAGGGAAGAAAGAGGTGCATTTCTGGTAACTTAAAAGGAGCTCATTTTTATGTAGCATCTCAGTTTCTGATTTGCCATATAGTTGTATCCTGTAAAAAGAGCTTAGCTGGGCCAAAAGTTTATACAAGTATTCCCTACATCCAGGAGAGTAGTGACAGGTAATCACTGGGTAATGAACAATATAGCCAAACTTTAAAGAAAATATGTTGCTTGGACTGACAACATCTCTTGAAAAGCCTGTGGAATTTGAGACTCTTTTTCAGTGTTGCTCTATGATGCTTCGAAGAAGTTCAAAATTACTAATGCCAGATAGGCTGAAAACAGAGCTTAAAACACTGGTTTGTTGCTGTGCAAAACATGTGAATATTTTTAAATTATGAGGTCATATTACTTATGCTCAAGAAAACTGAGCAAGTTCAAGGATACATTTTTTTATAGAGAGAGTAGAAAATACTTATAAAACATTGGACTGACTCCCTCCCCTTCAGAGTAAGGGGAAGCAAATCTCTGAAAATGCCCCTCTGCACCAGCAGCCTTTAGGAGCAGGAGCATATTGGACCCAACTCAACTCCTTCCTTTGCTTTAGGAGCCTGGGGGAGCAGCAGGCAGCAGCGCTGGCTGGGAAGAGCTCTGGGCAGGCTGCGGAGAGCGGGAGCATTGCCATCACCCCCACCTACATGGACAGCCCCCGCAAGGTAACCAGCTCCTGGACTTCATTTAGCTGCTTTCAGAGAGTTTTTCAAATAAATGGATTGTACAAAGTCAAAAAATAGGTTACTCTTCTAAGCATACGGCTGCAGCACACCACGTTTTACTATCTCATCTGTCAGGGACTGGTCCTGTGCCTGGAATGTCCTTAAGCCTTTATTAAGGACTTAATAAAGGCCTTTGTATGCAGCGGCCTAAGGAGAGGTTTGGACCCAACCATCCTTCGGTTCATCACTAAAACTGTGCCTAGGAACGCAAAGCCCTGAGATGCTACCTCAGCACGCTTTGTTAATTTAAAGGTCACTCATTAATTCCCACTTTCTTTTCTGGCAGCGTATTTCATTTCAATTGGGATTTGATTTTAGATAAGAAATATGGTGCTGTCCGCAGCTGTATGGAGGCTGTCTTGCAGACCAAGGTTAAGCTCTAGACCGTAGTCGTTGAAAGCTTCAGGGAAACTTTGAGGGCAGGAACCCCAGCTACTTAGTTCTGTTTGAAGAAGAGGATGTGTTCCTGGATGCTGATTTAGATGCCCCTGCTTTTCTGAGCTGACTCTGGGTAAAAGAAACCTGTCCTCCTGGGGCTCTCTTCAGACACTTGGAAGACTCAACTGCCCTTAGTCATCTTCTCAACTGCCCTGTGAGGGCCATGAGAGCCAGATTTCCACATCCAAACAGAAAGATTTAGGGTTGGTTTGTTGATGGTGGTGGGTGTTTTTTCTGGCATGGATATTTTCCAGCAGGAATAACAAGGAACTGAATCAAGATACAACACTTAAACGTATGTCCTGTCTTTGGGTTCAACAGTCAAAGTATTACAGGGAAAAAACGTGTATGGTTCCCACTATGAACTGACTGGATACTTACCCATCTCCTTCAGAGCTGTTGTCTTATCATCTCATATTTCAATATCCCAGCTTCTGTGTAAATGGCAGTCAGCTTAGTAGTAGACACCAATTTGCTTGTTCTCATCCTACGAAGGAAGAGGTGAGCAGGTCTTAGAAAAAGCAGATTCAGAAGTTGAGTTTGAGAGGCGTGTTTGCAAACTTCCAGATCCTAATTCATGCTTTGCGTTTTCTTATTTTACCATTTAGGAGCATGAACTTTCTCTCTTTAAATAAGAAATTATAAATGTCTCTTTCTACCAGCAAAGCTGGTGAAAACTGCACATCAGACCCACAACAGGAGTTTGCTGTGGCGAGTCGTTCCGCATAGGAGAGGGAAAAAGGCACAACTTGGCTCTCTGGACAATGGCTGCTGCGTCCTGGCACAGCAGCGTGTTGGGAGCGATTGAGCAGATTTTGTGCTATGCTGGTCTCTGTGATTTCCAAAGCAGCTGTGTTAAAAAGCCTCTCGAAGGCTGCTGTGTGACCTGGAAGTGCATGTTACCAACTGACAGCCTTCCACAGGGTGGTAATAAACACTCTATGAACAGATACATCCAGGTATGTGGAGGGAAGCAGGAGCCATGTCCAAATTGATGGCCCACGCCTGCTGGAGGGGTTCCTGGGAGCAGGCAGCCCCGTGGGGCAGCTCTTTGTGCTCAGGAACACCGGCACGTGTGACGCGTGCTTCCAGGGGTGGCTCTGGCTTTAGAGCTCTTGGGATGTCCACAGACTTGTAGCCCAAGTAGTGACCACTGGTCACAGCTGCGTGCTCCATCATCAGCTAGGGGAACAAGTGCTCTTCCAGGCTGCTATCCAGTGCTGCAATCGGTCCAAAACAGAGCTGAAGCATCGTCTCCACCTCTTCTGCTTCAGAACAGCACTGACAAGTCACTTCAGCAGGCAGTTATGGGGCAGCATGGGGTGATTTAACACAGCCAGTTAGCCCCATGCGTAAACTGCCTGGGGAGCCCTTGCCCTGGCAGGTACCCGTTGCCTGCTGTTCCTGCACAGCATGGATTGCCAGCCACGTTCCCTGGCATGAATCCTTTGCGGGAGGCGTTTTATACGTACGGAGCAGGGTAAGCATCCTCCTAACTGCAGACTATAGACAAAATGTTTTGCCTGGGATCAGAACAGAGAGCTGCAAACATGGAACAAAAACCTAGCTGGGTTCCAGCGCGCTGTCTGGTGCGATAAGAGAATCGTGACGTATTTTAGACTAGTAGCTGGGGATAAATTCATCCTTGGTAGTAGGCAGGAAACACAAGGTAGGCAGTGCCTGATGAATTTTATACAAGATATTAAACACGCTCTTGGAGAGGTCTTTGTGATAAGTTTTTCTTCCTTTGCTTTGTAAAGCAGAATCTACATTTGAGAGGAAGAGGATGATTCCTGAAGAGCGTTTCTTTGCCTCTGCCTTCCTGCCATTTGAGCGACTGACAGACCATGAAAGAGCTGGCATTCTTGTGAAAGATGTCATTATATACACAGGAACCTAGTTTCCTCTACCTCTCTTCAGTTCATGCAATTGAAATGAAGACCCGCTTAGTTTAGGGCCCAGTCTTTCTCCTAAGTGCAAAGAAAGGCTGTGGTTTTGAATTGGCTTCTGATCAGGGTAGTTTCCGAGTCTTTGGAAAAGTGTCCATGCTAAGGAAAAGTAACATCTTGGTACAGAGAGAGAAAGTAAGGGGGTATGGGAGCATCTCCTCGTGCTCCTGCTCTGCTGCACCTGGTTCTGGGTCTGTTGGGGGTATGCATTCTTCTCATACTTGCTCTCTGGTCATTTCATACTTGCACAACCTTGTATTTGCTTTTCTTCATCTCCTTGTTCCTGTTGCTGTTGCCATTACTGGGCCTGCTCCCTCTGATGCCTTCAGGATGGGGCCTTCTTTATGGATTTTGTTCGCAGCCCACGCACAGCTTCAACCTTCTACTCCCAGGTTAGTCTTCAATGGTGTCTCGTCAGCTCTGGCTTTTGGACTGAGGTGAGAGAGAGCATTTGTTGTCCTCAGCTTGCAGGTCAAGGAACCTGGTTTAGTTTCCAGAGCTGCTTACTGAGAAGGAGAAACCCAGCATGAGCAGGATGAACTTCTTCCTGGTGGATGCATCAATTTCTCTCCACCATTCAATGATTTAGAAGTGCTTTGGATACCCGTGTGTCTTGCCTTACTGTGCTTTTCACCACACTGCTACTGTCTTGCCAGCTACTAAAGCTTCTCTTTTTGTATGTCAGTGAGTGCCTGTTTTTCCATTCCTCTGTGAAGCAAAGACAGCCACAGCTTACATGGTTCTTGGCTAAATTGCTCCGGTGTTAGTTAACTGACAGGTGGTTCTGAGGATACCAGAGTCAAATGGTGCTCGCAGATCCTTAAACAACGGAGAGCTCAAAAGATTGGTTTCATTTTGGTCTCGAAGACTCATCATGACGGATGTTGTTTGTACACTTAAGATGTAGCAAGAAAGCAGCAAAACCACAGAAAATACTGCAGGGTGAAGTGAGCCCTGAGAGGAAGAGTGGATTTAGCCGCCTGCGAGGGCTGCAGATTCAGCGTGGAGCATCTGCCAGTTTGGGCTGCCCAAAAAGGGCCATCTGCCGCTGTTGAGGGAGAGATCTCGGGGTGGGAGAAGGGGCGCAGACAAAACAGGCTCTGTTGGTGCAGCCACGAGCACTGAGTCAGACTGCAGCGTCGTGGGTTTAGCTGGGCGCACGCTGCGGGTTCCTGAGGGCAGATGAGCCAGCCTATTTACCCGGTGTGAGTGGCTCCCGGCTGTGCCCGTGCCACTCCGCCACCTCCCTGGCTGTTATGTAACGTGCCTTTCCGAAGCCCTACGTGTTAATGGCAGATGGCAATTACAGCCTGTGCTTTGCTGAATCCTTCAGCATCCGTGTTCTTCCTGAAATGATTTTATGTTAATTTGTGTGAACTAGTCAGTCTCTCATGGAGCAGTGCAAGTGTTCCTGCGGGAGGCAAGTGTTCTTGTTTGCTTGGTGACATAGGGGTGGGTGGGTGCCAAGCAGCTTCCTGATACTGCCCTCAGAAAGGAAGACAGATGAGCTGCTTTTGTGCATTATGAAACTTGAATTCCTTGTGGTAAATTCATGTATTTTTGTCTAAGCAAAATATTTTCAACTCTAATTGCTTGCAACTCGTCTCGCAGTGACTACGACTCCTGTTTTTGTGCATTGCATGTTTATAATTGTATTTATGTAAGCAAACATGTCAGGCTGGGGTCAGGGTTGTTAGCTGGGCAGTGGCTGTTGCTGCATTGGTGACCCTAGTCTTTGCTGGGTCCTTATGGATGCTGGAAAACTAATTTCACTGTTGTCAGTAGCTCTCTAGTGATGACCAAAGCACGACTGTATTTATCCTTTCTGCATATGTTTGTACTTGCCTTGCAGCAGTTGGCCCTTTGCAGAAACCTGAGGGGGTAAAAAAATAAAAGGAAGGGCAATGGGAAAAGGATTGTGTTACCAGTGCCATAAAGATGCTGCTGTGTTTCACTCCTCGCAGGTCTCTCTCGATCAAACAGCTCCTGTGACCTTGGATGGCAGCACATTGCTAAACACGGGCCAGGGGGCTGAGAGGGGCAATGCCCCGGTCTCGGGGAGCAACCAGGGAGTTGCAGAGCAGGGATGCGCGGCGGCCGCCTCTGCTGAGAGCAGGTGAGGGAGCAGGGATACCCTCGGAGTGGGTAAGGGAAGAGAAGGGCTAGAGCCAGGATGTGCCAGGTGCAGGTAAGGGAGCAGCGAGGCTGGAGCTGAGATGTGTCGGGAGCAGGTAAGGGAGCAGCGGGGCCGGGATGTGCCAGGAGCAGGTAAGGGAGCAGAGCCAGGGTGAAATGAATGAAGAAATTCTCTTTCTGAGACCCATTAGCAGGCGGTTTTGCCAGGGAGTTCTGAGGTTCTGAAGACCCAACCCTGCACAGACCTCTCTGTTCTCTCTGTTTTAGCCAAGGAGGCCCTGCAGGCCTAAATGGAGCAGTAGATTGATGAAATCCAAGAGATCCCAACCTGGAGGCGAGACCCTGGGGAGGAAGCAGCACTGAAAATAAACTATATTGATACCTGCTTCCTGTGTTTATATAGGGATATTAAAAATCCAGCTTTTAAAATGTCTGTTCCCAATAGCTCTTGAATCTGGTAGCAAGTTTTATAGTGTGAATTAGGTCAGTATAGTAATGTCCTTATAACCTAAGGTTGAGAAAATGGGTCTCGTGCCTGTAGTTGTCCTTTGTGAAGTGAAGAAGGAAATAAATGTGGCACAGCACAAGGAAGAGATTCTATTTTAAAAATAAAATGTACATGTTTGAGTGAATCTGGCAGCTGCCCTGATTTTAATATGATTCTATTTGCTTCCCAGCTCTCAGCAGTGTTCGACAAGCTCTCTGACTTCTTCCTCCACCTTGATGGAGATTCTTGAAGCCATGAAACATCCTACGTAAGTATTTTTTTTTTAATTATTGTATTTTTGTATGCTTTGTACACGAATACCCTAAATATCTGTCTGGAAGTTTTGTAAGATAATGTGTGTCACCGAGACACTCAAAGAAACCCCGTGTCAGCTGGAGGAGTTTTTCTAGCTCACTCTTATTATTCAGTTCCAGTTGTTCCGAGAGGGAATTCCGTAGAAATTTAGGTACCGATGTGGCCGCATAGACTTGTATTATCAGAACTCCAGTCTTGCCAAACAAGATTCCTCAGCCAGGGAGCTGTTTATGTCAAGTAATCATCTCTGTTACCCAAAGCTAATAATATGTCGCTTCGGGGGCATTGTGCACTTCTTGTTCTGTGCCTTTAGGCTTTTATCTTTTTTCTTTCTTTTTGACAGTGATTTTTGTCCTTGTAACTCGCAGAACTGCAAATGCTAACAACGTATTTGCCTTGCTGTCATTCAGCACAGGGATCCAGCTGCTCTCTGAACAGAAGGGCCTCTCCCCGTACTGTTTCATCAGCGCAGAAGTTGTGCATTGGCTGGTGAACAACGTGGAGGGGGTGCAGACTCAGGCCATGGCCATCGACATCATGCAGGTAGGAAAGCTGCAGGGATATCCAGGGAAAGCTGCAGGGATATCCAGCCCAGGGATATCCCTCTCCAAGAAGAACTGTCCAGGAATCCATACTATAATCCCCGTTTCTTATGAAAATCCTCATGTTGATGCACACTGAAGAGTGTGCTAAGCAGAATATGAGGTAAGGAGGGCAGCACAGAAACTAACTTCCACCACCAGAATCTTCTGTGCTGCCTCTTAAATGCTTAAGTGCTAGATATTAATTTATGGTACAGTTGATATGTATGTGCTACTGCTACCTGATTTATGTCTTAGAAAATTTTTGGGGTTTTTTTCTTGAGTAACTTGAATTTTTGAATGTTCAGTTGTGAACCAACAGCATGTACCTCAGCAGTAACATGCATTATTTTTTCCACTGTTATGAAATGGCGACAATTCGGTGTACAACCTGCCCCTAGCCTAAAGTTACCAAGATGTCCCAATTCTTAGAAGCATGAGGCACAACAGTGACTTTTTCTTTCTGATAATTTGTTTGGGTAATGAATCTGTGAGGCAGACAGCAAATGAATCCTCTTTTATGGATGCTGAGGTATAAACACTTTGTGCTTGTATTCATGGATTTTTCTTCCCAACCGAACTGTGTCGGAGGCGGAAGGTTAGAAATGCTTTTGAGTTGATTCTTCAATTGAGATCCCATATCAATTAGCAGAGAACAGAGATGTTTCTGACTTCTTGCCTTCCTGTACACGGATCAATAAAAACAGAGCAAGGTAAGGGAGGAAGGCAGGCGTCTGCAGAAAGGTCAAATGCAATTTCTCAAGGAGATAAGGACTGGCTGCACTTACTGAGTATCAAAAGATGCGTTGCCGATCCTCTCCTTAGGTACATATCTGGACAAAGAGACTTCAAGAAGGAAAATCATTCCTGATGTTCTCTATCAACCTCTTCATTAACTCTGAGAGTGACTTCTCCTTTTTCCTCTGTGTTTACTCTGATCTCTTTTTCAGAAAATGCTAGAAGAGCAACTGATTGTCCATGCGTCCGGGGAAGCTCTACGAACCTTCATCTATGGCTTCTATTTTTACAAGATCGTTGTGGACAAAGAACCCGAGCGAGGTCAGCATTCCGTTTAGTTGCAAGACTTTCCTCGTTATCTATATGCATAATTGCTAGCGTCCCTTCATTCTTAAGGGTGCTGCTGCAGAAGGGCATCTTTGGAACAACCAGAAACTGTTCTGAAGAGAGCCAAGGAAATTGATTAATCTTCGATAACTTATTTAGAAAAAAGGCAATTACAGACAGTGTCACCTACTTTTCTTCCCCATTTTCCGAGTTGTTTCTCTTTCCTAACCTTAATTCTGTGATTCCTAGCCGTGACCTCTCCCTCCCCTTGCTTTTCCCGCAGTGGGCATGCCACCGCCGGCCATGTGGCACACAGCTGCCATGGATGACTTCTCGGCCTTCCAGAGGAAGTGGTTCGAGGTGGCGTTCGTGGCCGAAGAGCTGCTGCACTCTGAAATCCCTGCCTTCCTCCTGCCCTGGCTGCCCAGCCGCCCAGCCTCCTATGCAAGTAGGCACAGTTCCTTTAGCCGCAGTTTCGGAGGACGGAGCCAGGCAGCTGCACTCTTAGGTAGATGCACAGCACAGGTGACAGCTGGGGAAGTGCACGGGGATAGTTTGAAGGGGGAAGAGCAGCCAGCCAAGGGCATGATCTCACGTGGACCAGCAACAAAGCTGCGAATTTCACGCTGGCCTTACATGTGTCTTGCAGGTGACCTCATTCGGAGGTATGTTTCACTGGCTGAGCAGGGCAAATCTTGCTGCTCATAACTGGAATGCAACAAAAAGTGTTTTGGAAAAATTCATGGCTCTTGTCTGCCCCCGCCACCCTCTAGAATTCAGAGAGAAAATACTGACTTTGCATCTCCTTGCAGAGCCAACTAGACTCTTTGCAACCTGGGATGAGGGATAATCTGTGAGAACAGCAGAGCATCCAGGCTCTGCTTAAAATGACATACCGAAGTGCTTCCCAAGGACAGGAACCCTAGTGAGATCCAGATGTTGTAGAGATGTTTTCTGTGATGTGGTGCTAGAGGCTCCTGGGCCGGGTCTGAATCATTCACAGCCACACTCCCTGTGTTCCTGTCTGCGAAGCCCAGCTGCAAGTGATCCCTGTGGGAACAGTAGGCTTTGCATATGGAAGAGCAGGATACAGCGGGGCAAGATGCAATTAAACCATCTACAGGTCCTGCAAAGTGTGAAGCAAACACTGGATACCATTAACAGCCTGTGAAACATACTGGCTGCATGTTGCACTGTGTGGCTTTGTCATCTTTTTGTCACAATTCCAGGCCAGCCTGAGTCACTTGCTTTTGTTACCCTTTCCCTGCCTAAAATTGCCAGAAAAAAAATCATTGCTATGGAAATGCAGCTTCAGATTTATTTAGATGCATCTTTCAAAGGATTATCTCAATTGGAGATAAAAGTAATATTTTACTGCGCTGTTTTTTTTTTCTCTTTATATACTTGACCTTCGGAAGAGACTTGTTTCTGGTGTAGCATCTGTATCTCTTAAACCTGAAGTTACAATAATCCGTATATATTTCTGAAAGTTCTGTTTGAAGAGGAACAGCATCAGAAATGGGAAAGCATTAAGGATAGGAAGCCTGAACTTAGGGTTAATTCCCTGAAGCCAACATATGCAAGCTATTTTTCCCCTGTCACACAATAAATCTGTTGCCTTGGCCAGTATCCAAGCTCATTAGCTCAAATGATTGGCCAGAACCAGCCTGAACATAGGCTGGCATGAAAGCTTTGCGAGGGCTGAGGAGCCGGGGCCAGATCCTGTCCTCGCTTTGATCTCTTACTCGTTGCTTGGCCTGGGAAAACAACTTCACTTTTTGATGTCTATGCACATCTTGAGATGATCAAGAATAAGCGAGTTTGTACCTGGGGGAAGGGGCAAAAAAGGAAGGGTGCCTCAGTGCTCCTTTCACATTTTCTTTAACACCACCTGGAAAAGAGGGAATTCCCTCAGTGTGATGCAGTCACACTTCTATAGCTCTTCTCTCTCTCATTGCCATTGGGATTATGTCTGTTCTGCTGTTGAACTAATTTACAGCCCATGGATGAGCCACTTCCAAGCTCCTAATGCGCATACTGGTTGTTCCCAAACCTGTTTCTGGGAGGAAAACTCAGCATAGAAGTTCTAAGAAAAAGAAGTGAACCGGTTTGATGAATGTTTCTGTGCTGTCCCTCTTCTAAACAGTGTCCCAGGAAAAAAATAAAATTATCAGCATATCAGAGCTTTACTAAACCCAAGTGACCTGGTCCACGTGACTTCATTTGTTCCTCTCTTGGCTTTCATTTGGTTGTGGTTTTGATTTCTTCCCCTCCCCACCTTCCCTAAATGTCAGGCTGTGCCACAAAATTGCATGCAAGCATTGGGAGCTCCGGAACAAGCTCCACGTATCCCCCAAGCCCTTATCCCTCCCAATTCCCTTATCACTTGCTCAGCGATTGTCCCCTTTTCTTTTCCACTGAAAATCTGACCTGTGATATTCCTAATGTTGTCCCTTTTGATTTATAGCAATGCATGCACTAGCAATTGTAGCCATGTACGTAGCGTAGTCTGTGCCTGGAGAATAACCTGCCTGCTCCTCTCCGATCGATAAATCATTAGCTAAATACTCAGTGGTACCAGACAATTGGGAAGCAGGTGAGTCCTCTCAAAATCGGATACACGGAAGCCAGAGAGTTTATTTTATTAAAATTAACCTGATCATAATTTGAAGCTTCTAAATTCAGAGCCACGTGGGCATTTTTCTTCAGTTTGTAAGGTCATGATTTCAGTTCCCCTGCCTCCCTGCCGCTTTGCCTGTGAATTACAGCTGCAGGCGAGGGGAGCGGGAGACTCCAGCGCGAGAGGGAACAGCCGAAGGGAGCAGGGAGCTCATTCTTCACCGCGCGTGCGCGTTCGGGCACGGTGGGCTCTGTTATCACTCACCTTGTAGCTAACGAGCAGCCCCTTCCTGCCTGAGCTGCTTCTGCTTTACGTCTTTCGGGAGGTTGCCTTCTGGCATCTCAAACCACGGGCGTATTTATTGCAAAATTGGCCCTGTAACCTTCTCCTCACCACAAGTATCCCATCTGCAATGGGACAACAGGTGAAAAGGAGGGCGAAAAATAAAATCAGGAGATGTTGATCTGTCTGTCAATACCGGACCAACCCAGAACTTGCAGATAACACATCTCCCACAGACAGACACAGATTTTATTTACCAGACAGATACAGATTTTATTTACAAAATAAACTGGGTGATGTTCTTCCATTTTGGGGTATTTTTCCCGTTGCTAAGCTGCAGTAACAGCAGTGTAAAGGATTTGCTTTTAGCCCTGACAACTCTCTCCAGCCAACTCGCAGCAGAGGCGAGTGGAGCAGGGAGCTTTCCTTCTACCTTGAGGATGAACTTCAGCCCTTCCATAAGGTCCTTTACCGCTGACCGTAGAGAAGGGTGAATGTCTTCCTTTCCTTAGGCAAGATCTAACAGTATCTGTCTTAATACCTGTAATTGAAAAGCACGTTGAAGTGCCAAGCAAGGGTTTTTCTGCACTATTACTGTAGCCATTTGTATTATATGTCAGTTAGTGTTAAATGGTGTATTTCCATAAAGGAAAGTTGACACCATGGTTCATAGCAGGACTTTGGACCTGTAGTTGGAAGGCCAAGGGTCTGTCCCTGGCCTTTCCTGAGGCCAAGTCACTTCCCCCTCCTGTGCTTCTGCTCCTCCTTTGCCTGGTGTCTGAGACTATCCCTGCCTGGGATTCTGGACTGTGGCGCTCGAAGGGAGCTGGATCTCGGGCACTGATTCCAAGGGAAGAGAAGGCATCGCTGCTGCATGGGTCTTGGCCGACTTCCCTGGCTTCTACAGCACTGTTGGATACGCAGGTTCAGCAGTGCGGTAATGTGGGGTATTGAGATGGGGTTAAAGGAACAAGCTGAGTTTCTAATCTCTTTTAGCTATGGAAAGTCCTGGAATGCTCCTGCCGTGGATAACAGTGCCCTGGGGTGATTTCTGGTGGGCACACAGAGAAACCCAGGCAGGATGTCCTGGGTACTGAAGCCGTGTTTAATCATGGCCCCAGTCACTTATTGATTAGCTCCTGGGTTCCTGGCACAGTTTCCTTATTGCAGCTGAGATGTCTCGACTGCTTGGGGAGGTAATTCTGCAACACAGACCTCTGGTAATGCAGGGCTTTTCTGTCTTTTGTGATCTAGGTGAGCAGCATTCCTAGACTATTCTGTTAGCCCCCAAAATACGTGGGGAGGAGTGGGAGGAGGACAGATTCCTTGCAGATGGCTTGTTTGTCTTGTTTGCTTCTGTTCTGTTCTCCCGCCCACTCCTGAACACGCGTTTAAAATATCCCCCTGTTCCTTGGCTGCTCAGCTGCCACGGTGCCCGAGCAACGGACGGTGACGCTGGACGTGGATGTTAACAACCGCACGGACCGCGTGGAGTGGTGCAGCTGCTACTACCACGGCAACTTCTCACTGACTGCCGCCTTCGAGATCAAGCTGCACTGGATGGCGGTGACCGCGGCCGTTCTGTTCGAGATGGTAGGGGCCTGCCGGGAACGTGGCCATGGGCCACGTGGCGGGTTGAGGAGAGCAGAGGGGCTTGGAGCTGCTGCCGTCTTGGTGGGTAGTCCTGCTGGTGATAGTACCACTCGATGCTGGCGTTGCTGCGGCTCAGCAGGACTGATTGTGCCATCTGAATTGCTCTGTCTGCAGTACGGTGTCCTGCACCTGAGCAGTGTCCTCTACACCACGTGGAGGCCAGCGTAGGTGAAGGTGGTGTTTAAGTCCCACTTACATAAACCTCAGGCCCTAGGCAGGGTCTTCGAAAAGGAATCTATTTCACATCACACTTCTCTCCTCAAATGTAAGAGCTTTAAAGCTCAATGAAATTGTTCTCATGATGGAGCTTTGTTAGACAGTGTGTTCATCCTGTTCGGCAATGATTTATAAATTTTTGTGAACTTGCTGCAGATATTTTGAATTATAAAAGCAAGCAGCTCTTGTTTTTATTTTAGAATTTTCTTAACCTATGTTTTGTTCTCCCATTTGTATATTTTATAAAGCTCCATCTTTGTTTTGCATCAGGCTTTACCCCACCTGACCAAACAGCACTAGTTGATTGCTTTTGCTTTATATAAAATCACTTGCAGCTTCCCGTAAGGCAGCAGTGCTTACCACTGCTGATAAGCAGGCTGAATCAGTTCCTGAAAAATGTCCCATTTTAAAGTGCTTTCTGATTGATGTGGCACTTAAAAAAGGAAAGCCTAATGTCTTGTGCTCGTACAGCTCTGCTTGCGAGGATGCCTGTGCGCTTGCCATGCCAAGCGAGCCGAGCCAGGGGAGAGCTGAGCATGGCTGGGCTATTCTTGGCAAGATGAGTTGCTCCTGTGCACGTTAGTGCCTCTCCTCAGGTTGACATACATGCTTTGATGCATTGTGTGAACCTTTTTCTCAGGTTCAGGGGTGGCATCGGAAGGCGACATCCTGTGGCTTCCTACTCGTTCCTGTCTTGGAAGGTCCCTTCGCTTTGCCCAGCTACTTGTACGGAGACCCCCTGAGAGCTCAGTTGTTCATCCCCCTCAATGTCAGCTGCTTGCTGAAGGAGGGCAGCGAGCATTTGTTTGACGGTAAGAAACGTTCTTTATTTTACCCTTCGGGATAGTTTCCTGCAAGCAGATCCCTTCTGGCACGAAGAGCCTCATTTATCAGAAACACATTAGTGGAATGAAGAGCCTGTCTCTTGCAGCCCCTGGCAGGAAGGTGGTGCTCAGAGGAAGCTGCTCTGGCAGAACCGATGGGCCTGTAACACTGCACCAGGCTGGCAGCAAGCAGTGCCACGGTCTCCTGCTGACCATGGCCTTACGGAACCTGCAGCAAGCAGTGACTCTCGCCAACGTGGCGTTATCCTGTACGAATCTATTTTGCTACAGGCCCTGCCCGTAGGGGATCTGCACTTGCATCCTGCAGCTGCTGCTGCTCCCCCTCAGCCAGATCAGGGTTTCGTGACTGCTGTCCCTTCCTGTTGCCATGGCTGCAGTCACAGTGAGAGTGTCTGCACTTGAGATGGGGAGCTGGAAACTGCAGTTGTCTTGTCTGCAGCCTCCCCCTTTGAGCGACACTGCTGCCCCAAGGCTCAGGTGAGAGCTCATATACCAGAGAGCACCAGCCCCATGCAGAGACAGGCACCATTTCATCATGAGAAAGGACAAATGGCAAAAGACTCTGTTAAGATGGTGAAGATGATCAGTGAAGAAGATAGTGAAGATGCTTTATTTTTGTTAGCTCTTGGCCTAGTGTCTGCATGCAAGTGTAAAAGGGTCAGTGACAAGCCTATGTGCTGCAAGGTCGCAGCCCCTCGGTAGCCCCACTGACCGGGTCAGTAGCCCCACTGGCTCTGAAATAAGTATTTTCAGTGTCCTCTGTAGGGGTGCGTGGTCACCAACGCTCCTCCCTTGCTCTTTCCTGCATCTCTAGAGACAAAAGAGCTGAATTCAGGGAGGAATTTGCTACTGATGTATGCAAGGCCTCTGTCTGATAGTCTGGCATTCAAGGGACAACTGAGAAAACAGACAAAACGATGAAAAGAGATGACTAGAAAATAAGTGCACGGAAGGAGTCCAAGGAAGCCTGGAGCTTTGCAAGAGCGAAGGGAGATCAGAGCTTGACTGGGTGACTGTTGCCTTTCTGTTTGTTTCAGGCTTCGAACCAGAAACCTACTGGGACCGTATGCACCTGCTGCAGGAAGCCATAGCCTACAGGTGTGTAGAGCAGCCTGCAGCGAGGCTGTGCCTGCCTGCACGGGGAGGGAGGAGCACAACCTGCCTCACTGCAGTCTGCATGCACCTTGTTTCGTCAAACGTAGCACAGGGTTTCTGTGGGTGAGAAGGGGACAGGCAGATCCAGTGTTTGAGCTTGTCACTCTGTAGCAAACCTTTCCCTGGCCTGGCACCTTTGGAAAGTGCCAAGGTTGGGAGCAATAGGCTGCAAATCTGAAGTCTCTTCCCGGTGAGAGGGGACTCTTATTTCCTCCCTGTGCACTTAATGTAGTGCTGAGCTGGACAACAACCAGTGATTGACAGTAAGCAGGAGACTGGTGATGAGCTGCCCAGAGGAGGCTGGGAACAATCTGAGAGGAAATTGCTGAACACTGAGTATTGCCTAGCCCCTCTGCGTGCTTGATGCGTTTCGCAGTGCTCCTGCCAGGCTCCTTTTCGTGCTAGGGAGGCTGGCTTTGTAATGGAATTTAGCTTGGAAATGTACTTTCATTAGTTGAGAAAGCAGGAGAGGGATGAGAATCCTGCAGGCAGCTGAGTGCCGTCAGGTGAGCTGCGTGAAGCTGCCTGGAACACTGCCCAGCAGGAACAAAATGGTCTTGGAGCTTGGAGCGTGCCCAGGAAAGGATCCGCTCCGCGCTCTATCCCTCACCTGCATGCAGCCGCCCTGTTGGAGCTGGCTCAGCCCTCCCAGTCTGAGCTACCCCCATTTGGACACCAAAGAGGGAGATGAGCGTGATGCCATGGAGGAATGGGGGTACTTGGAGAAGCTCAGGCCTCCCCTTCCTTCATTTGCCCATGAAAAGAGGGGCTTGGGGGGGCGATTGGGGAAGATTTTCCCCATGTACCTGCCCTAGGCAATCCTATTTGGCACAGCGTTTGCTTACTAATTTGTTTTTCTTGGTATTTGTTTCCCCAGATTCGGGTTTGTGCAGGATAAATACTCAGCCTCTGCGTTCAACTTTCCAGCTGAGAATAAGCCCCAGTACATCCATGTCACAGGTGAGCACTACCTGGCAGGCACGGCGGGGCTCTCATTAAATAAAACAAGACAGACTGACTGTAAAAAGTTGTGTCGAGGGGCTGATCCTCACTGCGTCCCCAGTCAGATCACAAGTTAAAGTATCAGCCACCGTGAATGGAAAAAAGACAGTGTATGAAACAAGCACAGAGCTTTGCGGTAAGGACAGGCATTGTCTGCAAGTCTGGTGCTGTGGTGTCTCTGCAACTTTATTTCCAGGAGAGGGAAGAGGGAGATACAGTAATAAAGCCAGAGCTCATTCCAGGTGTACCTTATATAAATGTGTTTCCAGAAGCTTGGAGGGAAGGGATTTGGGAGAAGTCAGTACTCTTCTTGCGAGTTCTGCTCTTGATTCCTGGTTTAAGTTCAGCTAGAGCCACATCCCTCTGTGTGCACAGAGCACTTAAGACCTACCTACTCTTCTTCATTCTTCACTAATGCTGGGGATCTATTGGCACTTTTTAACTATGCTTCATGCAAGGCAGATCACAGTAAAGTGGTAGTATGTCCAAAAGGGTTTCTGGGACAGGAAGGCAATGACAGGAACAGAGTTTCTGCAAGACTGCAGAAGAAAATGGAAATTGGTTTAAAGATGGAAAGAAGGGACTGAGCTTACAGTTTTGCTACATTCCCTTCCACCAAGAGTAAAACAAGACTAAATACTGTCCAAGTGTTATAATTTGCAGACGGAAATGGCATGTAAAACAGAAGGAGGAAAAGCCTGTCTTATTTTAAAAAAAAAATTTTAAATTTATTTAAATTATTAAAAAAAAAAACAAAAAAAAGTAATTGAATAAACCTCAGTGCAGTTTTCCCCTCCAGAACCGTGCGAGGCAGCCGCTGGTCACAAACATCTTAGGTCTGTCTGAGACTCAAGTCCTGTCCGTTTCCACAGGGACAGTGTTTCTGCAGCTCCCCTATTCCAAGCGGAAATTCTCCTGCGGGCAGCAGCGGCGCCGGCGCAACTCCACGAGCTCCACCAACCAGAACATGTTCTGTGAGGAGCGCGTGGGCTACAACTGGGCCTACAACACCATGCTCACCAAAACGTGGCGGTCCAGCGCCACCGGCGACGAGAAGTTCGCAGATCGGCTGCTCAAAGACTTCACGGATTTCTGCTGGAACAAGGACAGCCGCCTTGTCTTGTTCTGGACTGACTGCCTGGAGAAGATGCACGCAAGCGCCCCGTGAGAGCGGGTGGCAGCCCTAGTGTGACAAGGAAGCTCTACTGTGGGACATGGAAGCAGTAGGGACTGGAAAAGGGCCTCTCTGTTGCCGTCATCCCGAGGCTCAGAGGGGACCTCATCAGTATTGCTGTTGATATTCAACAGAAGTTGATTAAGCCCTTGGAAAAAGACCCTGGGCTCTTGGCCTGCCAATACCTATTGCCTGATCTCAGCTTGATTTTAAGTAGCTGCAGCTCTTGGTTGCCAAAACTTGAGTAAGAGCAGGGAGGGCGCGGATGCTTTCCAAAGGCAGTTGGATGCAGCAGCCTGCCTCCCTCCCTGTTGAGATGGACCTGCTCGTGTGAATATGTAAGATAAACGTGAGATGCACTTGTTAAATGTTCATACGTGTAAATAAGCAAAAATGCCAAAAACAAAGTGACTGCAGTGGTCTGTGATGTTCTGTTGTCACTCTTGACAGCAAGTAAATATGGAATTGGGGGATAATGAGGTGGAAAAGGCAGGGCTTTGCCAAAAGGAAATACCACTCGCATCTAGCATGATAATGATGTGCTCCCGAGAAAGTCGGGCCCTCTTTGGCTCGTAATCCCCGTGGTGGAACGTTGCCCTTCGAGCACAGAGGACTTTCTGGCCCCAGCTCTCGAGCTGGAGCAGTGTCACGCAGCAGGAGCGAGAGGCCGGTTACCTGCCAGCCCGGCCAGCATCCAAGTGTAAGGAGAAACCAAGGGTAAGTAGAGGGAGAAGGGAGATGAGGAGCAGCGTGGAGGATGGGGCTGCCCCCAGCACAATAAAGATGCTCTCAGGTAGGTTGTGCTCAGGTGTGTCCTGGAGACCAAGGTGTCCTGGAGCAGCATGGACCTCAGCAGCTCCTGGGGGCTGCGAGCTGGGGCTGGGACCTTGTCCTGCAGCTGTGGGTCCCAAACAGGGCATTTGTGCTCCCTGGGGACCATGGGCTGGAGCCAGGATGTGGCCCTGCAGCCGTGGGTCCCACCCAGAAGCATTTGTGCTCCCTTCACCTGCTGCCCCCAGGCAGTGGGGACCCCTGGGGAACCACAGAGCTGCCGCCGGCCAGGGCCAGGGCAAACCTGAAGCTGAACGAGCCCTTTCCAGCTCGAGGGGGCCACAAGTCTCTTCATTCCCCCGCCTGTGCCTATTGCAGCTGGCAGGGAGGGGCTGACCCCACAGCCGTGCCTGTTGGGGGATAACTTGGGACTAACCTGCGCCCCCCCCTTCTGCGGGGGCCTGGCCCTGCGCTCGCTCTGCCCCCATCCCGGGCCGAGGGAAGGGCTGGGGCAGGCGGGCCGGGACCGGAACCGGGCCGGCTCCGCCTTGAGGCACTGGGGGCAGCAGGGGGGCAGCAGGGGGGCCGGGGCTGGACCGGCCTCGGGAGGCGCTGGGGGCAGCGGCCGGGCCGGGCCGCGCCGCGGGGGCGCCTCGGCCCGCAAGCAGCGGCGGGGAAGGCTCTGCCGCCCCGGGGGCGGGCGGGGGGACCCGGGCCGCCCCCAGCCCCGGTTCCTGCCCCGGTTCCTCCTGGCCGCAGCCCCGGGGTGGCTCTGCCCATCCCGGGCTGCCTTGGCACTTCCTTTCCTTTTAAGCGCTTCGGCGGGGGGCTTTCAGCAGCGCAGATAAGCTAGGTCTTAGAAAGCAAAGCCCGAGGGCTCCGGAGGAGGACAGGGGTTTCCAGCTACCCTCAGCTGGGAGCACTGCAGGCAAGAGGTGCCTGGAGGCCCGGGAAGATGAAGCGGTTCATGGCCATGCTGCACAGGCACAAAGCCAAGGAGGCGCCGCCAGGCCAGGCGCTGGAGCTGGCGGGGCAGCTCTGCCGGCGCTTCCAGAGCCCCTCTCCTGCCCTGGAGCAGCTGGTCGGGGCCATCATGGCCTGCAAGCATGCGGCGCATTTTCTCAGCAACGTGCACGTGGTCCGAGCGTGCGTGTGGGCTCACGTCCGCAGAGGAGAGCACACGGCGGCCCGCCGGCTGCTCGAGGTAGGGACGCGGCCGCGTGGAGCTGCAGTGCGACGGTGCTCGTAGCTGCTTCCACACAGCTGGACACAGAGGCGTCTGGACGTCGTGTGGGAGCCAGACGGGCCACTCGCAGCCCCGCGAGGATGAGCACTTGGCTGTGGGCAGCTCATCAGCCCGAGGGAGACGGTTACTGGGTAGTTTGTGGAAGGGGGGAGTCACTTCTGTTCTCAAGTGTGGTGGTTGTTGGAGTTAATTATCAGCGCTCAGGACATGAGCGGCGTGGGGGCAGGCGCACGTGAGGGGGTTTCCCTGTTGCCAGGATAGGTTGGATGGCCCTGCTCATGATGGGGGATATTGTCCTTTGGGTTTGGTCGCGTAACCCATTTCTTGGGAGAAATGAGGTTTTAGGCAGTTCCTTAGAGATGGAGCACAGGCCACATTCTTGGGTAGTGTTTCCCAGTTTCAGGATCCCAATCCCAGTCTTTGTCAGGCATCTCTGGGCAAGCTTCCATGTGTTGAGGATCTTCTCTGCAGAGAAGCCCAACTGACTCCTGGGAAAGGTCTGCTCAGCCGCTGTTCTGTTTTAGTGTTGCCAGGCAGAAGAAAAGGAGGAGCTGCTGCAGCTCTGGTATGAGATTCACTACCAGCAGGTTATGGAGAAGCAGCACACGGCCTTTCTGACCCCTCTGCAGAGGTTCCGCTGCAGGAAGAGGTACCGCAGTGAGGGGGGCTTCCTTCTTCCTCTGCTCTGGTTGGTAGCTGCAGCGGGTGGAAATTCAGAGGCTGGTTTTGCCACCACAGGGTGACAGCTTCTTTGGAGACAGGTTTCACTTGGGACTTCCACCTTTACCTGTTTCAATATGACAAAGCTGTTATAAATGCGAATGAGTCTTCGTGGTTCCTCCTTGATGCTGCTGCTTTTGGGCACAGGAATCCTCCGCCTGTTTCCCTTTGTCCTGAGGGTTTGAAGAACCGAAACTACCCAGACAAAGTGCGCCAGCAACTGCACAGGTTTGCAGCGGAGGTGACGCCAAACCCGAACAAGGAGCAGCGGGTAGGGATGCGGCCTCCAAGCAAGTCTCCTTGTAATGGGAAAACAGCTTTCTGGGAGCAGGGATCTGTAACTGGTTTCATTCTAATGGGGCCAAAATTCCCTAAATTTGATCCTTCCCTAAAGGTTTGCTTTCAAATAAGATCAAGCTAAGTAATTGCGCTTAATTTGGACAAAAAGATCTCGGGAAATGAGTTCTTCATTGGACTCCTAATAGAGGAATCTTTCTAATTTTGTCATTTGACAAAGACAAGGAAATAACCATCACTCAGAAGGGCTACATACGGTGATAGGTTCTGCTTTGACCGAGCTACGGTCTTTATAAAATTGCACTTTGATCATCAGAATATATGTATTGCACTGACTTATCATGTTAAACTTGCTACTTGCCGAGTTAGTTTCCTTCATGGGGTCTAACTGATAAATCAGAGGCTTGGGGAATCTCTAGTGGGTTTGAAAGCTCTTTTACATGGCTACTTTTGCAAGTGGAAGGAAAAGTCTAATGATTTGTGCATGGCTTATTCTTTTTCCCCTGATCCATCCCCACATCTGAGTTTGTAGGAGGAACTGGCTCAGGTCATGAATCTGCAGCCAACTCAGGTCTATAACTGGTTTGCAAATTATCGACGTCGTCAAAAATCCCGGCTTGCCTGCGTGGGAAAGCTGTCCAGCTCACGCCCCAAGGAGGCTCTGACTCACCCTGGTGCAAAGGAGCAGCAGAGCAGATGGCCCTGCACTCCACAAACAGCAGGTTGGTCTCTTCGTAATGGGCTTGGGATATAATCTAGAGAGCTGAAACACAATTTGAAGTTCTCCTGGAAGGAAGATGTCCTTCCTCTGGAGCAGGAGCTACCTGCTGATGGACCCTGGGGGGCTGCACTGAAATAGCAGCCCTGCTGCTTCATCTGACTTTACCTCAATAGTTACCACTCTTGCCACCACTCTGTGAGATGGAGAGTTGCCAGCGCTCATGTAGAGATGAAGTTGGCACCTGCTTTCTTCTACAGCAGGGGATCCATCATCTGCTGATGGATCTTGCCTCTCACCTGCCTGCCTGGCCATCCTCAGGCTACTCCTGTTTTTTCTGTAGCCTTTCCAGCCCCGAATGGGATGCAGAAATGCCCTTCTGGGCAGCAAGCACTGATGTCTGGCAGAAACACATGAATAGTTGATAGATCTTGTTCTCCGGGACATGAAGGTATTAGTGCAATGCAGATGAGTAGCTCTGAACTCCAGTCTACTCTAGTAAAACCCAAAATTTCCAGGGCCCCTCCCAGCATCTCAACTTCAGCCATGGGGAATGCTTGAATCCTGCTGCATTTGAGAAATTAAACTGTTGTTTCTTTGCCTTTTTGGCGGGCTGTTAGTATCCCTTTACCTGCCTTGCCCTGTGGCTTTCAGATGGATCTTACGTGGGCCTCCGATCCGAGCAGATGGGGATGACCCTTCTGCCCAGCGAGCCGGGGTGGGAGCACTCGGCGGCAGACCTGGATAAGTCCCACGAAGGAGCATATTTAAAGATGCTGCAGTCCAGGTGAAGTATGAAAACACTGTCACAGGGACAATTCAATGACAAGAAACATCCTTTAAACTTCTTTTTGGAACTGACTTTCCTCTCAGTCCCCGGGGGTAGCATCTAGGGAGCCCTGAGACCATAAACGGGAATGGTTTGTGCCCTGGGATCACAGGCAGTCACCCACCCAGGAGCATTCAAAGGTGCAGCCGGTGGGTCCCCCTTTTTGCAAAGAGCAAGGCTGGCTGGTCTATCTCTATCTATTCTTGCCCCGCTCAGCTTCACGCAGACGGGCGCGCTGTGCGAAGCGAGGACCAGCGAGGCTCTGCCGACCGCTCGCTGCACTGAACCACCTGGAACATTTTGCTCCGAGGCTGTGCTGGAACCAGGAACCTGCTTCGGCCCAGCTGCCCTGCAGAGCAGGGGGCCACCAAGCAGGGGCGATGCCAGCTCCAGGCCCCACAGCTTTGTCCTGTGCTCGTACGGATCTCCCGCCTTCCCAGGGGAAGAGCTGGCCGCGTGGTCGGTGCCTCCCAGGGCCAGAGGAGCCTCTGGCTCCATGTGGACCCCGAGCACAGAAGGTCAGTACAACTGCACCCGACTTGCCACTTTTGGTGGGTTTTAAGCTTCTTTTCCCCTTGCTATAAATGCTCTTGCTTCCTTACATGACTTTTCCTGTGTCTGGATAAACAGGAACCTTAAGCCTTAGCTATGCTTGTCTTCAGCAACATGTTCTCACTTTCCTTTACCCTTATTTGGTTTTATTTCTTTCTGCCACCTTTTCTTGCTCTGTTTCCTTCCTGTCCAGTCTTGTTGAGCTTTCCTCCCATGTCCTGCCCTTTCTTCTCCCTGTTCTTCAGAACAACCCAGGTGCTAAGTGATGTCCACCTGCCGTTGCTGTAGATTTGTGCATTGGAAAGTGCTGGGGCTGCCATTCACGCAGCCGCTGGTGGCACGAGGAGGGGAGCACTAGCTGGGCTAGAATGGGGTCTTACTACCTGTAAGTCTAACACAAGCATTTATTTCAGCAGGTTTCAGAGCTGCCTTGAGCAGGGTCCCTCAAGGTGGCTCAATTGAGGCCAGTTCAGGAAGCATCATTGCGCAGTCAGACTTAGAGGATGAAAGCTTCATCCTTAGAGAAGAACAGCTAGGGACTCTGGAGGCTCTCCTTCCCCACAGGTAAAGGCAGCCAGGGCTTCTCAAAGGCAGGACTAAGTGAGCTTCTGGGTCTCCCCTCTTCCTGATGACCCCGTTGATAGAGGGCTGCAGAAACAGGATGGTGGTTCCTTTCATTCCAGGGGCCTGACTCTCTCTCTGTGTCAATCAGACTTTACTGATACTTTATCTGTGTGTGGGAAACAGGCAACACCGTGTTAGTGTCTTATGCAGTGTAGTGCAGAGAAGCTTTTCTGAGCTTTTTGCCTGGTTTGTTTTTGCCAGAAAATCATAGCCTATACTGAGCTCACTGAGAGATGAGTCCTGCAAGCTGGGGTGGTAGAGCTTGTGGTTAATTCTAAAATAGTCTTTTGTAGCTTCATTACCTCACGGCAATATTGATCCACAGCCAGGCTTTCCAAATTGGATGGCAGAAAGACCCTTTTGCCTTTCTTGTCTTCACCTGTATGAGATGTTTCAGATTGCAGAATTTCACTGGGACTTGAGATAGTGTGAAACAACAAAATTCATGCTCTCTTCCATACGCTGTTATACATCTTCATAAGGTTTCATAAAAGTAAACACTGCAAAACAGACATTATGAAGTTGCTTTATCTTATGGATCTGTAGGACAGAAGCGGAGTGGTTGTCCCTTTTCATAACCTCTCTGCTTAACTCTTTTCAGTGTTTGTGCTAGCGTGACATTATCAGTAATAACTTGTACATGTCCTGTCACAAAGGTAGGCAGCAGCAGCACTTTTATTTCCACTTTCCAGATAGGGAAGAGAAGCCTGGGGAAGTTTTGTGGCTTTTCAAGGCAACAGGGGTGGATGGTGGTTCCCTGCAGGCAGTCGAGCACTTCTTACCTCCAGCTTCTCCCTTCAAATGTTTCTGCCTCTCCCTGTTTGCAGCTGGTTTGTACCTGCAGGTCCTCCCGTTCGTGCCAAACTGCTGGGGAGAACCCAGTTCTGGGTGTTGTGAATCACCTCAGTCTGTCTGGAGATTAACGTGGCTTTACGTGATGGCTAAGGATCACGAAAAATCAGGGAGAAACTGCTGGCAGTATTTTGGCTGGATTAGAAACTGCATGTTCTGCCTCTAGAGTAGCGAGCTCATGCTTATTTTTAAAATATGTTCCACCAGTAGAAGAGATCTATGGTGAATGTCTCCTTGTTGAGTATGTCAGTTGGGCTAGGAATCCACACACCCTTTATCATATTCCTGGCATGGGCAGCACTTACCACCTTCTGGTAAGGATGGAGTTATCTGAACTCTGATCGTAAACACAGCTGGGCTGGTAGTCTGGTACAATTCTCCCCAAAATGCAAAAATACCCCAAATACCATGAATACTACTGAACTTTAATCTCTTTGGAAATTCTTCTTTAGAACACTTCCAGGTGTTTTTGCCAGAGGACCCCAGGGTCCACAGTGTAGGGTGAAGTCTCCCCTTTGGGAACGACTGCATTTGGGGAATCATCTTTGCCGTCAGGCAGGACCCTCTAACAGATCTGCTGGATTAGAGAGGAATTGTGTCACCAGGGTCATCGTTAGCAATATTGCGACACAGCGGCACTCATCTGGGGTGAAAGGAGTTAGCAGCTTGGAGTCTTAGGCAGGTGAATGTTGTTATCCTGGAAAAACAGGCCAGGGAAGTTATCTGGCTGTGAGGTGGGAGTGTGAGGGGCAGCGATGCTGGGAGCTGAGTCTACATGTGCTCCCTGCCCGGCACGGGAGCTGGATGCAGCTGGAAAAGCGCAGGTGGCTGCAGGGTGCTGAGCAGGGTCTGCCCCCGAATGACAGCAGTGCCAGCTCCTCTCGCTGCGGCGGCCAGGGCAGGTGGAATGTAGCCCAGCTAACGGCTCGTGTGGAGTCTCGCCCTCCTGTGCCTCGCGTTTCAAGCAGAAAAGCCCAGCGAGGAGCAAGGCAGGACTGCGCTTCTGAGCCGGCCTATTGATCTGCAACACGCTGGTGCAGAGCGGCCTGCTGCAGCTCGCTGCTCTGCCTACGTTTGGGGATGCGGTTGGGGATGCCAGGAGCCCTCCTGCCACCGGACCCTCTGCCTAGTGCCAAATCCCAGCAGGTTTGCCACACACAAGCAGATATGCTACATATATGTACATACATATATGTATTTTTGATATGCTACATAGCTACGTTATAGAATCTGTTGCTATGGGTATTGTGGATGTCAAAGTGTAAATGGGCTTAGGAAAAAAAAATTAAAAAGAGGTAAATTCGTGGGGGCTGAATCCATCTGGAGTTAGTAAATGTCCTTGTCTGGAGGCAGCCTGCAAGAGAGGAGCCTCTAGACTGCCTGTGGGGAGAGGGCTCCAAGAAGGGCAGCCTGGCGCTTGCCCTGTCTCTTGTGCTGCTCTCCTGAGCTCCGTTAGGAGCTCGGGGCATTCCTGGGAGCAGCATGGGTGCTGTTGTGGCAGCAGAGGTACCCTGGATTGGTGGTGACGGGGGAAGGAGCAGAAAGGTGCTGCTGAGATCATCCCACGGGCGAGCGCTCGTGTCTCCTACTTGGCTCTGTGCCCACAGGCTGCGACCCCTTTGGAGAGGTAGCAAAGTCCCAAGTGAAACCAGGTGCCGAGACTCCTGACTGGGGACCTTGAAAACCTACAGCCGGATCCTAGTGAATGTTTTGGCTATGTCTAGAACTATGTTTGTGTTTTGACTCTTAAAAAGCTGTCTTTTTTGATGTATATTCCAGGAAAGATATATTTTGGCAGATGGGTCTGTGTTTATGGGGATTGTTCTGGGGGCATAAGCAAAGTTGCAAATCTAGATGTGGTCCCTGTATCCAGCTCCTGGTCAGACTAGTGTGTTAATGCAGAGTTATGTTCAGGACTCAATAACAAACCAAGGAGAGAGCACGGGTTTGCAGACCCCTGAGCAGAATTCCTTCTCCCTGGAAGGAATGGTCTTGCCAGCTGCCCCTTTTTGTGCTGCTGCAAGATACTGCTCAGAGATGAGGAGGACGTTAAGTTCAAAGAAAACCCACGTTCTTTTATTACCGTATTTTCTTCCAGTTCCAGTCAGGCTGTGTTCAGCAAACCTCAGTGCCCCCTTGTTTCTGCACCGTACGTGGAAGAAAGCCAAGCCCTGGGACACAGCCAGGTAAGAGAAGGCACCTCATTCACACAGAGGTTGCCCAGCTGTTTGCATGTTGCCCAGCTCCTGCTTTCATGGGACATGTGAATCTCGCATCATAGTTTGTATAAAATACATCTCATCTTAACATATCGTTGCCATGCAGTTCCAAATAGGCTGGGCAGTGTTCAACACGTGCTAGAAAGAGGGGGTTATTTTGTGGTTTTTTTCCCCTTGAATAGCTTATCAGACTTTGATTTTAGTATAAGTGCCACTGCAGTGATGGGCAGAGCAGCCTGTGCAGCTCTGAAGCATCATTTGTGCACTGAGACATGGAGGGCTTACCTAGCACTGTGGAAAGCAAGGAGCTGGATGATCTTGGATGCAGCTTTTGTGTCCCAGCCTGTGTTGCTGCTGAGGGAAGGGGCTGTGCCCCGTCCTGTGCTGAGAGCAGTTGTCACCACCCATGGTCTGGATTCAACCTGCGTGCTGACACTGATTCTGAAGCAGCAGAGAATAGACACGAGCAATCTGGTGCTTTTGCAGTGATGGGAGCACATCTCAAATTAAGGGTTACTTAACAGGACCCAAGAAAGCCTTATATAAATTGTGTCTTGTGCTATTCTTAACGTTTATTTTTTGGCTTGAAGTGTGCAGGTCTACTGATCCATTCCTGGTTTTGCTGCAATGTAAACTGCTGGAGAAAGCCTTTTTTGCGGAGGCTCTGAAAAGCAGGTTCCCATATTTGCTGGCCACATTATGGGAAGTGGCTGCAGCGCTAAGAACAGTAACAGAACCTCTTTGAGCCTCTGAAAGCATCAATATAAAGATCTGTATCTTGGAAAGTGGCCTTTTTACCAGCCATAATGTGAGCCAGATGAGTAGGAGAGCTTTGGGCATTAATAATGAATGAGCCTTTTCTAAGATTTCCAGAGCATGCAGGCGCTGTAGCTAGAGCTTCCTCTCGCCACTTTGGATTCTTGCACTGATTTTGTGCTTGTGCAGAAATGTGACACTAGGGTGATATAGGCTGCAGAACAAGACACCGTGTGATACCTGCAGATGTCGAAAGGGACATCTTCAAATCTTCATAAAGACCACCGAGTACGGGAAATCAGAAATGCTTCCCCCCTGCCCAGCTTCCCCTTGGGTAATTTAATGTGTGCCACGTGGAAAGGGAGAGAACTTGAATAGGGAATGATTTGGGGGTATCCTACAGTATCCTGGCCACTTAGATTCTTGCTGAGTGAACTTTCCTTGGGCTTGTCGCAGGGATATCAAACGCTTGGTTCCTGTGTCTGAGCTGTGGGTGTGCGGACGTACCCTCCCTGTAGTTCAACATGACTTTGAGTTTGCTCTTCGTGACTCATTCATCCCTTCAGTTACCGTGAGAGTAAAACAAAACAAAAAACTAACTTGGGAGATGTTTCTTTCCCTCCCTGAACAGAACCTCCTTCCCAGTGAGCAACTGCATCATTAATGGTGGTTAAATGAAGCTGTGCTTGCTAATGTGTCTTCCAGGTGCCTGAGGATCCAGCTGGTGACCCATCGGCCAGCGACACGTACCAGGCGGCCTGGCTGCTCTTCGAGTTCTCCTCTGGGGGACGAATGTGACCAGCCTGCCGGGGAGCTCCGCATGTCCGCGCTTCCCCAGGGATCACCCCTTCCTCTCCGGCTTCTCCCCCTCGCCTCCTCTTTTCTAAAATTCAATGAAGGTTTTGACCTGGAAATGAGGAATGGAGAGAGAAAAGGCCTCCATCCTTCTACCTTGTTAATAGTTAAAAAGTTTGCTCTAGTTGTCGTTTTACTAAGGATATTGCAAAGAACAGGAGAAGCTGAAGGTACTTCGCAGACTGTAGCTTTAAATGCAGGTTCAAAAACCCGGGTTTAAAGCTTCTGCTCTAACTCACCGGGCAATCTTTTGCATTCAGAAAGTTTGTATCGTGAGGAGTAAGTGTTGCCAAAACTACAGCTGGGAGCTGCACCAAGGAGATGCCTCCCGTTCTCTTTCTAATGAAGGTTGCAAATAAAGGTTACATGTGACTCTATCTAGGGCTTGTTTTCGAGGTGAGTGTATTAAACTCTTTAACACCCATCTGGTTCCTCAGCACCCCAGAGCCCAGATAGGTGTTTGGGTTATAATCCCCAGAGCTTCCAGGGGGGTCTTCCCTGCAGTGCTCAGAAGGGCGTTTTCCTGCTGCCACATGCTCAGCTTGTGCGAGGAGGGGATTTTTATTAGATACATGTTCACATTTTGACCTGCTCGAATCGCGGGGTCGGCGCCGGGTGATGAATCCCGCGGGCGGGCGGGCGAGGAGCCCCCTCACAGCCGCCCGCGACCCGGCCCGACGGCGCCGCCGCAGCCCCGCGCCAGACACGGACGTGCGCGCAGGGGGCGCCGCCGCCTTCCCGCTCCCTTCTGATTGGCCAGTTGTCCGACCGCGCGGGTAGCAACAGGGACAAATATATCCTCGCGGCCTCTGATTGGCTGCTACCGGCGGCCGAGCCATAGCAACAGCGCGAGGCGGCCGTTGGCGACCGTTAGTGGCCGTTGGGGGCGGGGCGAAGCCGCCGCTGCTGAGGGAGCCTCGGGGGTCCTGTGGCGAGGGGAGGGAAGCAGTAAAGCAGGGAGCTGCTGCACCCGCACTCGTGCTGCTGACGGTAGGCAAGAGGTCACTTAAGGAAGCCAGGCTGTCTGCGTTAAACCCGCGTTGCGCCGTGGTGGGCGAGATGCGTGCCTTCCCTGTCTCCTGTGTTGGAGGTGAAAAAAAATAAGGGATTGTGGTGCGTCAGGCTCTGGAAGGGCTTCCACGCCAAAGGAGCCACCCATGTGAGCAGAACTCAGGCTGGCTCTTGTTAGGCGTGTGTATGAACTACCAAATAAGGTATTTTATTTCTCAGCCCTTTAATGACATGGTGTGTCAGTACTGCTACGATGATTCAGCTAGTCTATGGAATGTAATATAGGTGGATGGGAGCCTGGGTGGTTCCTCTTCTCTACTGGTGAAGACTGACAGGTTGAAGTACAGAGGAATGATGCTTCAGTTAGTAAGATGTATTTTCACTCCCTTTCGAATACTTCCTTGTGCTCTCTGTCAGGAAATGACTCAGGATAGATTAACAGTACTCCACCTGTACAGAGGTTCTAGGTGCCTGCCATTCAAAATTAAATAATTATTTTCTAAGAAGACAACGCATGCTAATCTATGCAAGCCCTTGAGTTTCAGAGATAACTGGCCTTTGCTCTGCTGTCTAACGAATACAAATGTGCACAGGTCTTGTGAACTTCATAATTAGCCAAGAATACAGTTGTTGAACATTATTAAGGAAGAATTTTGAGAATTTGTAAGGAGTGCTGGAACAACAAGTATTCCTCCAAACCTAAATTTGAAAAGGCTTTGCACTTAAAGTAGAATTAAAGCCTTTTGTCTTACACTTCTCTTAACGAATTTCATTTCCAAATTTGGCACAGTTGCTCCCTGGAGGACAATTGAATTTTCTAGGTCATTTCCCAGATGAAATAACTTATTAGTTTTCCAGAAATTTATATTAAATGATTCACAGCTCGGTATGTGGAATCAAGTTGATAGCAAGAGTTGTAAAACCAAGTGGTAGAAGCACAGTGTGTCCTGGTCCACCAGCATCCCTGCCCCATGCTACCTGGATACTGGATCTCTCTGAAAGGCTTTGGTGGAGCCGCTTGCTCTGAGAGCAGTTTGGAGGCTGTGCTTGCAGGTGATCTCACAGACGTGACCGCGCTGAGGTATGGGTGACTATGCAGAGTTGGGAGATGGGCCATCCCCTCCCCATGCACGAGCTGGCACAGACTGGAGGCACTGCTCTACTGCTGAGGCAGAGATCAAGAGCATCTCTGCTTAGCACTGGTGGGCCTGGCCTTCTCTGTCTGTGGTGCTGAGGCTTTGAGGGTGGTGGAGTGCTTCCAATTAGATTATATCCACGCTGGGCAATTGGATTGTTCAGTTTGTGTCTTACCTTGTTCCCCTTTCTTGGCTATGATTTATGTCCTAGCCTTGCTCTAGTTTCCCTCTCCTGCCATACGTAGCAGGCTCTGGATGTGTTTGTGTTCGTTGTCTTTGGAGCTGTAATTAGAAGTACTCTGAGCATGTGGCTGACCTGCCCTGAGCTCAATGTGCTGTACCTGCTGTTATCATTCCTCCTCCTCCTTAGCATGCTGTGGCCTAGCAAAAGAAGGAGCTTGCCCTAGATAGGAGAAACAAAGCCATTTTTATCTTTAATTTCATGGGCGAGCCCAAATAACAAAACTTGCGCACGTCAAACGAGCACAGAAAAGGGGTAGAAATCTAGGAGCATCTTCGGAGGCCTTGTTAATTAGCTGTCTCTGAGGTGAGAGGGCCATTTTCCCAACGGGCAGGCAGTCAAATTTTCCAATGCAGCAAAAATCGACGTTCCTCTTTGCAGCAGATGGGCTGGCAAAGTCAAGACTGGCAAGGTCAAGACTGTACCGTTGCAAAGTTAGATGTGTGATGTAAAAATGGGAGTATAGAGGGTTTGTACTACAGCTACTCATGAAAAACTTCTCTGAACCTCATCTGATACAATGCTAAAGAGGATTAATTACATGAAAAGTTGCTATTCCTTTTCAGTCCCCTTGATGGTTTCTGTCAGCTATCATGGTTACTGATGGGCTGGTCTGCCACTTGCCCAGAGCAGCCTCAAGCAAGACAGCTTGAAGGCCAAGGTTTCCAGGCAGTCTCTCATTTTGAGTGCTGGACTTGATTTGCTTGGGGCCTCATTTTCAGAGGAAATGAGCACTTAAGCAGCGACTCAAGTAGAGCACCCAGAATAAGAGGCCACTTTTGAAAACGCTGGCAAAAGCATTTTATCTCTACACTTAATTAGTCTTGTCCCCAAAGTCTTTCATGTTATGTTCTACAATGAAAGGTCATTGTTTCAGATCAATCATGTTCAGTGGAATTTAATCCAATTCTAAGTTAAACTAATCCACTTTACTAAAATTTGAAGAGCAGTAAAAAATTGTTTGTTAAGAAAGATATGGGCTCATTTTTAAAAATCTGGCCATTGATTCAGACTCCCTAATTGTGTGTGCACGACATGCTGCATCTTGGGGGTGATTCTGGAAACACTGGACGTCAACATTCTGACCTTATGCATAGGCTGCAAATGCTCAGCACCTCTGAAAACCCCTGGCTGTTGATAGGATTGTTCTTCTTGTGTGCGAAAGTCGCTTAACGTAGACCTTTTTTTTCCTGTTACAGATGGAGCCTTTTTTTTTTTTCATATGACATTCTGACAAAGGCTTCTGATAAAAGGCTTTTTAATGTTTTTCTGCTTATTGTAGATTCCAGTTACCTTAATTTGATTAATCACATAAAGAATAAAAACACATTTCTGTATGTGGACGAGACTTTGGCAAACACTGTTGTGAGGTAGCTTTGTAAGTGTTAAAGCTGCTTTCCATTAGCTACTGTGTTCTTGCTACTTACACAAACCTCCATAACTGAGCATGCTTCACAGCTTCCTGTGAATATCCCTGAATCATTCTGGCATGCAAAAACACTGCTATGATTTTTTATTCAGACATAGTGTTTGTTCTTTGCTGGACTCTGAAATGAGCAAGCGCTTGAACACAGCATGTTTCATGGGAAAGTTCGGAGGATTTATCAACTCATGTCTGGAGTCAGGATCAACAAGATCTTGAACATGCAGAGCAATCCTGGCTATGAATGCTGAATGGTATTAAATATATTGCAGTGATCATAATCAGTATGTTTCCGTATACAGTATAGATCCCTTTCCCCTGAGGGAGCAGGAACTTCACAGATTCTGCACAAATCACTACCCTTCTCTTGCAAAGGTGTTCCCCATTGCTGAACAGCTGTGCAGTGTGAATGCCACAATTCAGGGCATGAACGCTGCTGGTTGTGAGCAGCTCTCACGTAGTCTAACCTTTCTGCCTCCATCCAGGATTTACAGAATCACAGTATGGTTGAGGTTGGAAGGGACCTCTAGAGATCATCTAGTCTAATCCCTGTCCTCAGGCAGGGACACCTGGAGCACAGAGCCCATGGTGGCATCCAGGTGGGTTTTGAAGACCTCCAAATCACTCTTTACCCTCACCCGGCTACCACTCAGTAGATACTTAGAAGAATACATGGCAAGGTCACTTGCAGTTTGACACTGTATGCCTTCTACATATCAAAATACTGCTTAAGACAAATGTTATGAATACATAAAACAATTCAAATATAGTTAAAACGGGAAAAATCAAACAGCAGTACTTTGGAGTAGGCCTACATGCTTTATTTCCTTTCTGAGATAAAACTGATGGAATTCAATAAACTGACAGAATGAGAGAGTTGAAGTGAGAAAAGAAAAAAAAAATTGAAAGGCAGTGGGCGTAGAAGAAGAGGGAACAAACAGGGAGGTGAAGGCACCAGGGTAGGGTCCTGTTCTCAGGAAAAAATATGTTTAGACAGATCCTGAGAAGAGACATCTGCATGGTATTGACAGAAATCACCTTGATACGAAGTAGGGACAGCAACATCTCGCAGATACTACAGGAGTTCTACTAAACATGAGTTGTGTTTTCCTTCTGATTATATAACTCACAA